TTCTACTGTGACGCCTTTTCTCTCATTTCTTTGACGTTTGTGGTGAAAGTAAATTGCAAAAAATTTTGATGTTTTTTGCCACGTTCTCACGCCATCTTGGCTTTATCATGTATGTCATGCGACTATCTTATATATTATCTGGTTTGTGAAGCAATAATATTGTTCCCAACAAAGAGAATGTTTGCACAGCACCTACAGACAACACAATATATCTAAATGTTTGTTGTTTAGTTTTTAGAGTTACACTATTACAGTTATTAGCATTTTGAGAATTTGTGTAGAAATTCACACGCAAATTAACACAGTTTTGCACTATTTTATATCTTTGGAGTGATTGTTATATTCGCCAATTGCCATGTTTATATATAAAAAATATATTTTGGTCATTTTGGAATCCGAATCAAGGAATATAAAGGTTATATCCTGATTTAAATGTCATAACACTGTAGTTAAAACATACAAACATAACTTTATGAAACTGTTAATGGTGTACATTAACTTTACTATAGTCAGAAAACTGCATTTGGAATTACAGTAAGACAGTAGTGAGCACTCTCTGTGAGAGTTTTCAACCGGAAAGTAACGTAAAAGCAAGTCAAGCTATAGAAGTAACAAGGGATAAATGCCAAATAGATTGACATTGGCGGAAGTGGTTTGGCGATTCTTGTATATATTCATAAGGAATTTCCATATTGTCGCTACATATAAAATAAAAGCAAAGTATGAACAGTCTGTGTAGACACAGCGTGAAAATTATGCTCACGCTTGCGTAGTAAGTTTTAAAGTTTCTAGCCAAATGATCCAACTCATAAATTATAAATGCAAAATGCTGTCATATGTTAATGTTATTTTTCTTTAAAATGAAATCTGAAACCAAAAGTAAATCCAATTTTGTGCATCTGAAACTCTAAATTACTGCTATAAACAATAACACAATAGCCAAAAGAAATCATTGCAGTTTTTGAAATCCAGATCACCCTGCCTTAAGAATGAATAAAAAAATTCGCCATCAAAGACACATTCATACATACGTAACATTTAAGCTTATTCTTGTTAGTAATTGGTAAATTCAAAAGAAACCCCGTTATTCAAAAAGACTTTGAATGAAGATGCAAACAAACAATTGCGTTTCTGGAGATAATTTACATACATGCTACATCTGAATACTACTTTCTCTTATTACAAAAAATATCGAATTTTGCGATCATCAACGACTTGTGACGGGATCAAAATTGACACTAAACATCACAATAGATTTTACCATTATCGTGACGCAACTTGTCTCCAGGTTTCTCCTCGGAAAAATGCCTGAAATGATTTAAGCATTCCATTGGAAAAAGGGCGTATTCCTAAAAAAAAGCAGTAATCAAGCAGATGAAGACATATTAACTACACCTCAACTTTAGCCTTCAGGAGGACCATAACATCATCCCATTACACTGACAAGGCAATCTTATCAAAATAAAATTTACAAAGGAGTAATTGAGAAAATATTTACTGCAAAATGTAAACACGTTTGTGTACATGGTAGTGGACCATGTACACACGGACGAAACGACGATACGTACGGACGAAAAATACCTGAAATATCGAAGAGTTTAGGTGATATAAAAACAGCAAACCTTCGGGATGATATCGAGGCGGATAAAAAAGCAGCTTTTGTGCAAAGTTTTATAAGATTGTTAAAAACACAATATTTGCGTGATTTTCGACCTGGAATACATAATACCTCCGGCAGCTAAACACCGAGGGAAAAAGCTATACGGTAAAACACCGAGGGAAAACCTATATACGGCAAAACACCGAGGGAAAAACATATATACGGCAAAACACCGAGGAAAAAACATATATACGGCAAAACACCGAGGGAAAAATATATTTACGTCAAAACACCGAGGAAAAAGCTATACGGTAAAACACCGAGGGAAAACATATATACGGCAAAACACCGAGGGAAAAAGCTATACTACAAAACACCGAGGGAAAAGGCTATACGGCAAAACACCAAGGGAAAAACATATACGGTAAAACACTGAGGGAAAAACATGTATACGGCAAAACACCGAGGGAAAAACATATATACGGCAAAACACCGAGGAAAAAGCTATACTACAAACACCGAGGGAAAAACATATATACGGCAAAACACCGAGGAAAAACATATACGGTAAAACACCGAGGGAAAAACATATATACGGCAAAACACTGAGGGAAAAACATATATACGGCAAAACACCGAGGGAAAAAGCTATACGGTAAAACACCGAGGGAAAAACATATATACAAAACACCGAGGGAAAGCTATACTACAAAACACCGAGGGAAAAGGCTATAAAAACACCAAGGGAAAAACATATATGGTAAAACACTGAGGAAAAACATGTATAATGAAAACACCGAGGGAAAACATATACAAAACCGAGGGAAAAAGACAAAACCGAGGGAAAAAGGCTAAAACACCGAGGAAAACATACAAAACACCGAGGAAAAACATATATGGCAAAACACTGAGGGAAAAAGACAAAACACCGAGGGAAAAATAAATGGAAAACACGAGGGAAAAAGCTATACTACAAAACACCGAGGGAAAAGGCTATACGGCAAAACACCAAGGGAAAAACATATATACGGTAAAACACCGAGGGAAAAACATATATACGGCAAAACACCGAGGGAAAAAGCTATACGGTAAAACACTGAGGGAAAAACATATATACGGCAAAACACCGAGGGAAAAATATATACGGTAAAACACCAAAGGAAAAAAAAATATATATACGGCAAAACAGCGAGGGAAAAATATATATACGGCAAAACACCGAGGGAAAAATTTATATACGGCGAAACACCGAGGGAAAAATATATATACGGCAACACACCGAGGGAAAAACATATATACGGCAAAAACCGAGGGAAAAATATATACACAAGGTGCCAAAAAAATGAGTCCATTAAATATGGAATGCATATTTTTAGTTTTGAACCATATTACCACTCTGTCACAACAATGTTAGGTTTTAAGTTCTCGAAAAAGCAATGTCAGTACATGTTATGTCCTCCCTTAGCTTTCAAAATGGCTTCAACTCTTTTTGGCATAGATTTAACAAGAATTTGAAGTGTAGATGGTTCAATATTATGCCAACATGTAGAGATTACATCCCATAGCCTGTCCTGGCTTGTTACGTTATGTTTCACTTTTTCTCTTTTTAACTCATCCCAGAAGTAATCAATTGGATTAATATCTGGCGATTGAGGCGGAAATGCCATGAGCTTCAATTCACCTTGATTTTCTTTATTCCTTAAATAATTTGTGCACAAGTTGGAGCTATGTTTCGGATCGTTATCCTGAAGTAAGGTAAATCCTCTCCCGCATAACCTTTTGCCAGATGGTACAGCATGCCTTTGGAGAATAGAATGGTAATACTTTTTGTCAAGATTGCCTTTTATTCTGTACTCTTAACACCATTAAAGCTGAAACAGCCCCAGACTTGAATGTTTCCACCCCCATGCTTCACGGTGGACTTGAGGCATTGACTTGACAATCTTTCACCACATCTTCGTCTCACATAAACACGGCGATTATTTCCATGTATTTCAAACTTTGATTCATCAGTAAAAAGTACTTTTTTCCAATTGTCTACGCTGTAATGCTTGTATTTTTTGGCCCATAAGAATCTCCTCCGCTTATTTATCGGGCGAAGCAACGGCTTGGAAGCTGCAACTCTTCCGTTCAGACCACTTCCAGCCAATCTCCTTCTTACTGTTGTTTTGCTGATTGCTTTCTCTCGGGTGGCGTTAATTGACGATTGAATGTCGCTAGCAGTTGCTCGTCTGTTGCGCAAAGAGCGTAGCTTTATGAATTGATCTTCTTTTTTTGTTGTTATACGTGGTCTCCCAGGTTTTGGTAAGCTGGAATAACATTGCGTCTTTTTAAATCTTTCCACGGTTCGCCGCACAGCTCCTTTGGACACTCCCAGCTTTGCAGCAACATTTCGTTGTGAGTAATTTTCGTTAGTGAGAGCAACAATTTGTCCTCTAACTCCTTCACTTAAAACTTTAGCCATTTCCCAATGTACTGCCCATGCGCTTAGATATTGTGAAATATCTTGCAAACAATTGTGGGAGACAATTTCAGGTCTCACTGCGCATTTTTAAGTGGCTACTGTAACTATACGTTTCAAAAGACACATTTTTCCCACAATTTTTCCAATATTGGAACTGGACTCATTTTTTTGGCACCTAGTGTATATACGGCAAAACACCGAGGGAAAAACATATATATACGGTAAAACATCGAGGGAAAAACATATATACGGCAAAACACCGAGGGAAAAATATATACGGTAAAACACCGAGGGAAAAACATATATACGGCAAAACACCGAGGGAAAAATATATATACGTCAATACACCGAGGGAAAAACATATATACGGCAAAACACCGAGGGAAAATATATACGGTAAAACACCGAGGGAAAAACATATATACGGCAAAACACCGAGGGAAAATATATACGGTAAAACACCGAGGGAAAAACATATATACGTCAAAACACCGAGGGAAAAATATATACGGCAAAACACCGAGGGAAAAACATATATACGGCAACACACCGAGGGAAAAATATATATACCGCAAGCAACGAGGAAAAAGCAATAGGGCAAAACACCGAGGGGAAAAAGCTATACGGCAAACGCTGTATAAACGCTAGATTTTTTGCACTCAAACGCTGTTAAGAAATCCTGTACATCTTCATCATCAACTGCAAGAGAATGAGAAAGTACATTTTCAACCACACTAGACTCAGTGGTCGAAATATACTTCATAAAGGAACTCAGGTACATATCTTCTGAGACATAATCTTCGCCAAAAAGACAGGAGCACAAGAAAAGGCGAGAAATTTTGATTTGAAAATAGCGTTTTTGAGTGTAACCTTTCACAAGATTTCTAGCTAGCGCTTGCCACTTCCCCCGCGAAACGTCAAGATGAATCACTGGGACTCGTTCATCCTCGCCTGACATGAAACTATTTCATTCCAAAACAGAGAAAATGCATACCTGACAACGCCGACTGCTTCGCCCTTCTCCTCGACACCTCTGGAATCTATCATCTGGACATCCACACACTTCTTTAAAATATCACCTTTTTCAAAATAGTGCAGCAAGTCTGCTTTCACATTACAACGATGAATAAGCAACACTTCTCGCTCCATAACCTCATTTGCCATACTTTCTGGGACAAAAGTAGACCCTTCAGAACTCTCACCTGCAATGTACAACACTTAATATAGTAAAGATGGGTGAAAAGCCACAACATTTCTGACTGTTCTATTTTCAAATTCCATTCATCCACTTTCTTTCAATGAATTCCCAATGGTATTTTGCACCATCATCACAATACCCACTCATCATTTTATGAAATATTAATTGAACATCAAATTAGTGGATATTTTTCTTCCATACTATGTAACTAGAACATCTTTTTCATAAAAAGTCTGACAAGTACAAGTAGACTATATAGTACTCACAAACCTTGGAAAGTATTCATCTCAAAAGCATCACAATTTTGGAGGTTCTCCAGTGCATGTGGTGTTAAAGTTGCATCATCAATAGATGACAGTCCAACCAAAGTTGTGGAATGTGATTCTTTTCCAAGCTGTGGTTCTGTGCACAATAATTCATTTTGAGTCTTTGTTAGTCTGATTTCTTCCAAATCTAATTGTTCTTCCACAACATCATCAACTAATTCATTAGCAACTACAAAACAAATATTTGTATTTTTATCAAATATGTAACTTATTTAAATAAAGATTGTTGCATAACACACTTTTGCTGATTTCCTTATGCACTCATATTGGAATTCTCAAATATAACATCTGAATGAATGTTGCCTTTTACAGTATTAATGTGTGATATTTAATATTAGCTCCTTATAAAGTAAGTGTTTAATTTTATTTGTATCATGATAGTTTCATAAAATTAACCAAATGGTGCAAAAATTATTATATACTTGACCATACAGAATTACTTTGATTATTAAAGGCTCATAATTAGGTATTAATCAACATTAAGAAAATTGCGTATACATTAACAAAGTGTTTTTAAGAATTAATAGAAAACCTCCTCATTTTCATAATCAAAGTCTAGCAAACATACAAATTGAGACGACTTGCATGGCCTGTCAAGGGACTCCTTGTACTTTTCTACAGAAAATGTTTCTGTTCTGCCTGGTAAATATAAAACTCCATATCTGGGTACAAAAAAACCCATTCAGAACTTTCATCATGGAGTTGCTTATTGTGAGCCAGTTGCTTCTCCACCCCAGCAGTTTTTATGACAACATGAGAATCCATTTTTTTACATCAATAGGAAGAAGTGAGCCTCGCATAATTTTCAAATGATTCCCATCTAGCTCAATAATTCCAATGTTTATCTGGGGTGGAAAAAAATATCCAGTTACAAGGTGTTCATGACCTGCCATCACAAAATGTGTGTTGAAGAATGAAAGAATAATTGGACATTTTAATGGAAAATACTATTCCATCTTTCTCCATGAAAACCTGAGCCTGATTTTTAAAGCATGCAACAAAAGTATTGTGTTGATTCGAATGAGTGCAAAAAAAACCAAATTTATTATAGCAGTATTTTACATTTCAGCTTAAAATAGGTGGGAATTACATGAGTAATATCAACATAAAAACAAGCATTGAGTATAATTATTCACTACCATCACCCATCCTTCAAATAATTATTGACATGACCTATCAGCAGAGGTAGTAATAATCACAAACCTTGACAGTCTCATTCTTCTTCCCCTTTTTCGTGGAGACAAAACGATCTTGACGCTTCCTTGTCTCAACAGTGGCAAATGAAATATCTGCCAAATACTCTTTAAAAGTCAAAAGTTTGGTGGCACGAGGATCAGTAGAAGGCCCAGCTGATGTTGATGGATCACTATTTCGCAAGGTCTTTGATTCGTCAGACTTTCGAAGATCCGTCCCACAGTTAGCACAAAAATTACCCCTTGTATTTAGTGAACTCCCGCATACTGTACAAAACATGGTGTTCAAGTTCACACTTCCAACAGCCGGAAAAGATAATATGAACATATACATGAACGCTAAATGTAATAAATACCTCACGCATATATCTATTCAACTAACTTTCTCGAAATAAAACGAAAATATAAGAATATGACAATATTCTGCACTTCGGCAACTTTGTAAACTCCGAACACATTTGGCTGGCAAATTAACCGGATATGAATTTTGCATATTATAATTTGTGTTTGTGTATTAGAATTTGTGTTTGTGTATTGCACCTCTCGGCCACCGTAATTAACTGACTCAAGTAGAGAATCATATTTTGGCCAAATAACATTGTAAAGATTGTGCTAATGCAGTTTCAATAGTTTTCTTACTCCAAAGCTTGTTTTCTAATCAAGATGATTTCTCATTATGTTCTGAAATGGGTCAATTTACAAACTTCTCAATTCTTAGCCACTTCCACACTAAAACAAACAACTACACCAAATCACAGAAACTCTTACGACTTTCCATGTAGTATTTTGTATTTTTAGTTCATCATTTAAAAATAAAGTAATTATAATTAGGATATTCACTGAAACAGCTAATATATTAATTTCAAAGAAATGCTTAACCAAAACTTTCAGCAGAATCCTTAACAAACTTCATTAGAAATAAACTTTAATACTTTATAAAGTGTTAAAGGCGAAATAACTTCGTGCAGCGTAAATTGTTTCAAGAATGTTCAACGGCAAAATACATCTTGTAACCAATTTTACTGCATCAAAAGTATAGCTATATTTGAAAATGATCTGTATCGAGTGCCACGTTTTAAAGGTTCTTTGTAAGTCGTGCATATAAATTAATTACTTAATTCAATTGAGTGCTGAGACAGAATATCAAAAGAAGGATACATATCACTTGTAGACAGGAATACAGTTGGGTTGAGTTTTAGGCATAGAAATTTATATACTTTGTAAATTTGTTGTATTTTATACAACAAAATATCAAATAAGTAAACAACAGGATGTGTAATTAACTCATTCATAATCTCCACTCTATTGATAAAAGTATGGGCTGTAACGATACCTTTTTAACTATATTTTACGACCGAAGCAAAGCTTATGTAATTATTTCCACCACAAAATTGATATGGCGTAGAATCTCCCCACACTACAGAACATCCGGTCAAAAGACCCGGTGCACTATGTCTGACAATTTATATCGTTACATCAATCTCCTCATAAAGAGCAAAACAAGGTTATACTTTGAAGCACCTAAGAGTAGTTTTCATAAAAGTTTGTAATCACATGTAAAACGTTCATTGTAATGTACGTCCTAGAGAAGATTTTCTTTTGACTGAGGGGTTCAATGTGTCGGTGTCTGGTCGTGCCTGATTGGTTTCTATACTGACATTTGTGGATGTGTCTTGCGTAGAGAACTTGGCTGCAACGGTGGCTCATTTGGGTCTTCGGACTCAGATTGTTCATTTTCTTCCTCATTACGCTCTTTATCAATTTTCCCTTTCTTTAGTGGACGCCGGATGTCTTCTGTTCCGTCTGCATATTTAGCCTTCCGAAATTACTTGGTACGACGTGGGTGCAAACTTCTGGTTACACACTTCTTTCCTTCATGTCCTGCACGTCTAGTCTGGTCGTATAAGTACTGTATCTCCTAGGTTGAAATCTATTAATGGCTTGCTGCCACATTTGTAATATTTCGCTTGTTTTTTCTTTTGTTTGTCAACAATTTCTTGAATCGGTAGGTTAATTTTGGCTTCAATAGTTTCGTTGCCGTAGGGAGAAGCGTTTTTGTTCACATAGCCTACTATATATGTACGTGGATAAATAGTCCAGTTTAGTTTACATATCAGTGGCTTAATTTCCTCTACGAATAGCAAAATAAATAAAACAGCATTACAACACCGAATCAAAATTTTAAATGTTGAAGAAAGGTAATCACATTGTTAAAACAGTTCATCGTTGTCTTGGTGGATTAAAGTAATCTCCAAATCGTTAAGAATGAAATGAGTAATTTAGAACAAAAATCCTCAGCCTTGTTTTCGTTGACTAAAGCGCGTCATAAAGAAAAGCAATGATGCGCATGCGTATTAATTTTATATTGCTGTTTCCAGCCATTGTATCCAGTATGCTCGCTCTGCAATCTTCAGAAACGTTGTGAATATCAGTAGGACTAGTGTAGAAGATTCTTCCAGAACATAACATCATGCAGCAGTGGAAATGTCTCAGTGTTAAAGAGGAATAATTTGTCAATCACTTTGAAAATACAAGTTCTTATGAAACTTCTTGTAAAATCGCCGTGTTGCTTACAAAGGCCAAGAGAATCGATACAATACTGGCATATTCAACTAATTCAAGTTAGATCATCGATGTCAGGTTCTCTAAAAGATCACGTTTTAAATAAGGCATGAGCGTACATACATAAAGAAAAACACATGATGTAGACTAGTGAGAAATTTATCATTTTAAGAAATATACAACAAATGAAATTACTTCAACAAATATCATTATAACGTAGATATTTATAAATGCCACGTTTGTGCTCATTACGATTCCTTGAAAATAAAGCATGAATTAATTATCAATTTCAATAGCTTGCTGAAACCAAAAATAAGCACATCAACACAAGCTACTTTTAGAAATGGATAATTTCGGTCAATTTGAGAGGTAAAAGTTTATAGCTACATACCTTGATGGTAGCTATGTTTCAAGTGATGTTTAGTTTTCTAGTTCTCAAGTTTTAGTCCAGCTTTTCATCATCCTTATTCATGTCTATATAAATTCATTGTTTTTACCGTAAGTATAAACACAGAGAGATTGACAGCAGGATAACATGAGCATGAACTGTAAATAAAACATTTTTCGCATTTTGGACCACGTTCAAAAAAAAATGTGCTGTACATTCATTATTTTAAAGTAGAAGTTTCAAAAATTCATGTTGATAACGTTAATATGTACGTAATTGCATGTGTTGTTCGTTATGACACAACAATTTCCTTCAATGTACGTGTAAAGTTGATATTAACAATAAAATTGCTGTTCGAGATAATAGAGTTATATTTATATAATTTTTATTCTGGAGAAAGATGGGGGGAATTATTGCGAGTTTGGTTCAATATAGCTGCAACATAAGTTGTTTTAAGAATGGTCAACGGCGAAATACAGCTTGTAACCAATTTTACTGCATCAAAAGTATGTACACAAAATATAGCTATATTTGAAAATGATCTGTATCGAGTGCCACGTTTTAAAGGTTTCTTTTTAAGTCGTGTATGAATAAATTACTTAATTCAATTGAGTGCTTAGACAGAATATCAAAAGAAGGATACATATCGCTTGTAGACAGGAATACAGTTGGGTTGAGTTTTAGGCATAGAAATTTATATAATTTGTAAATTTGTTATGTTTCATACAACAAAATATCAAATAAGTAAACAACAGAATGTGTAATCAATTCATTCATAATCTCCACTCTATTGATAAAAGTATGAGCTGCAACGATGCCTTCAATTAAGAAGGCGCTAGAATTCTCGCCCCAATACAGTACATCCTGTCAAAAGGCCCGATAATTTATATCCTTACATCTATCTCCTCGTAAGGAACAAAACAAGGTTATAATTTGAAGGACCTAAGAGTAGTTTTCATAAAAATTGGTAATTACATGTAGAACGTTCTTCATTATGTACGTCCTATAGAAGATTTTCTTTTGACTGAGGGGTTCAATGTGTCGGTGTCTGGTCGTGCCTGATTGGTTTCTATACTGACATTTAGGGACGTGTCTTCCGTAGAAACTTAACAGCAACGATTGCTCATTTGGGTCTTCGGACTCAGATTGTTCATTTTCTTTCTCAGAAAATCGTTTTCTCGGTAGATAAAAGTCATCTCCGAATCGTTAGGAATAAATGAGTAATTTGGAGCAAAATCGTAAGCGTCGTTCATGTTGACGAAAAACAGGCCAAAAAGAAAAGCAATAATGCGCATGCGTATTAATTTTATATTGCAGCACCCAGCCATTGTACCCATCATGCTCGCTCTGCAATCTTCAGAAACGTTGTGAATATCAGTGGGACTAGTGTAGAAGATTCTGCCAGAACGTAACATCATGCAGCTGAGGAAAATATATCAGTTTTAAAGAGGAATGATTTGTCAATCACTTTGAAAATACATGTTCTTATTAAACGTCTTGTAAAACTGTTGTGTTGCTTACAAAGGCCAAGAGAATTGATATAATACGGGCATATTCAACTATTTCAAGTTACATCATCGATGTGAGGTTCTCTAAGTGATGATCAGGTTTTTAATAAGGCATGAGCGTACATACACAATAAAAAAACACATGTTGTAGACAAGTGAAAAATTAATCATTTTAAGAAATATACAACAAATGAAATTACTTCAACTAATATCATTATAACTTATATATTTGTAAATGCCACGTTTGCGTCTATTACAGTTCCTTTAAAAATAAAGCATGAATTAATTATCAATTTCAATTGCTTGCTGAAACCAAAAATAAGCACATCAACACAAGCTACATTTAGAAATGGATAATTTCGGTCAATTTGAGAGGTAGAGGCTTATAGCTACATACCTTGATGGTAGCTATGTTTCAAGTTATGTATAGTTTTTTAGTTCTCAAGTCTTAGTCCAATTTTTCAACATCCTTATTCATGTCTATACAAATTCAACGGTAAATAAAACATTTTTCTCATTTTGGACTACGTTCAAAAAAGATAGTCGTGTACATTCATAATTTTAAAGTAGAAGTTTCAAAAATTCATGTTGATAACGTTAATATGTTCGTAATTGCATGTGTTGTTCGTTATGACACAACAATTTCCTTCAATGTACGTGCAAAGTTGATATTAACAATAAAATTGCTGTTTAAAATAATAGAGTTATATTTATATAATTTTTATACTGGAGAAAGCTGGGGGGAATTGTTGCCAGTTTTGTTCAATATAGATGCGACATAAATTATTTTAAGAATGGTCAACGGCGAAATACAGCTTGTAACAAATTTTACTGCATCAAAAGTATGTACACAAAATATAGCTATATTTGAAAATGATCCGTATCGAGTGCCACGTTTTAAAGGTTTCTTTGTAAGTCGTGTATGAATAAATTACTTAATTTAATTGAGTGCTTAGACAGAATGTGAAAGCAAGAAACATAGCTCTCACTTGTAGATAGGAATACAGTTGGGTTGAGTTTTAGGCATAGAAATTTATATAATTTGAAAATTTGTTATGTTTCATACAACAAAATATCAAATAAGTAAACAACAGGATGTGTAATTAACTCATTCATAATCTCCACTCTATTGATAAAAGTATGAGCTGCAACGATGCCTTCAATTAAGAAGGAGCTAGAATTCTCGCCCCAATACAGTACATCCGGTCAAAAGGCCCGATAATTTATATCGTTACATCTATCTCCTCGTAAGGAACAAAACAAGGTTATAATTTGAAGGACCTAAGAGCAGTTTTCATAAAAATTGGTAATCACATGTAGAACGTTCTTCATAATGTACGTCCTATAGAAGATTTTCTTTTGACTGAGGGGTTTGATGTGTCGTTGTCTGGTCGTGCCTGATTGGTTTCTATACTGACATTTGTGGATGTGTCTTGCGTAGAGAACTTAACAGCAACGATTGCTCATTTGGGTTTTCGGACTCAGATTGTTCATTTTCTTTCTCAGAAAATCGTTGTCTTGGTAGATTAAAGTCATCTCCGAATCGTTAGAAATGAAATGAGTAATTTGGAGCAAAATTGTAAGCGTCGTTCATGTTGACGAAAGCAGGCCAAAAAGAAAAGCAATAATGCGCATGCGTATTAATTTTATATTGCAGCACCCAGCCATTGTACCCATCATGCTCGCTCTGCAATCTTCAGAAACGTTGTGAATATCAGTGGGACTAGTGTAGAAGATTCTGCCAGAACGTGACATCATGCAGCTGAGGAAAATATATCTGTTTTAAAGAGGAATGATTTGTCAATCACTTTGAAAATACAAGTTCTTATTAAACGTCTTGTAAAATTGTCGTGTTGCTTACAAAGGCCAAGAGAGTTGATATAATACGGGCATATTCAACTAATTCAAGTTACATCATCGATGTGAGGTTCTCTAAGTGATCACGTCTTTAATAAGGCATGAGCGTACATACACAATAAAAAAACACATGTTGTAGACAAGTGAAAAATTAATCATTTTAAGAAATATACAACAAATGAAATTACTTCAACTAATATCATTATAACTTATATATTTGTAAATGCCACGTTTGCGTCTATTACAGTTCCTTTAAAAATAAAGCATGAATTAATTATCAATTTCAATAGCTTGCTGAAACCAAAATAAGCACATCAAAACAAGCTACATTTAGAAATGGATAATTTCGGTCAATTTGAGAGGTAGAGGCTTATAGCTACATACCTTGATGGTAGCTATGTTTCAAGTGATGTATAGTTTTTTAGTTCTCAAAGTCTTAGTCCAGCTTTTCAACATCCTTATTCATGTCTATACAAATTCATTGTTTTTGCCGTGAGTATAAACACAGAGAGATTGAAAGCAGGATTACATGAGCATGCTGGCGATATGAACGGTAAATAAAACATTTTTCTCATTTTGGACTACGTTCAAAAAAAAATGTCCTGTACATTCATTATTTTAAAGTAGAAGTTTCAAAAATTCGTGTTGATAACGTTAATATGTTCGTAATTGCATGTGTTGTTCGTTATAACAACTTCCTTCAATGTACGTGTAAAGTTGATATTAACAATAAAATTGCTGTTCGAGATAATAGAGTTATATTTATATAATTTTTATACTGGAGACAGATAGGGAATTATTGCGAGTTTGGTTCAATATAGCTGCAACATAAATTGTTTTAAGAATGGTCAACGGCGAAATACAGCTTGTAATCATTTTTACTGCATCAAAAGTATGTACACAAAATATAGCTATATTTGAAAATGATCCGTATCAAGTGCCACGTTTTAAAGGTTTCTTTGTAAGTCGTGCATATAAAACAATTACTTAATTCAATTGAGTGCTTAGACAGAATATCAAAAGAAGGATACATATCACTTGTAGACAGAAATACAGTTAGGTTGAGTTTTAGGCATAAAAATTTGTATAATTTGTAAATTTGTTATGTTTCATACAACAAAATATCAAATAAGTAAACAACAGGATGTGTAATGACTCATTCATAATCTCCACTCTATTGATAAAAATATGAGCTGCAAGATGCCTTCAATTAAGAAGGCGCTAGAATTCTAGCCCCAATACAAAACATCCTGTCAAAAGGCCGATAATTTATATCGTTACATCTATCTTCTCGTAAGGAACTAAACAAGGTTATAATTTGAAGGACCTAAGAGCAGTTTTCATAAAATTGGTAATCACATGTAGAACGTTCTTCATAATGTACGTCCTATAGAAGATTTTCTTTTGACTGAGGGGTTGGATTTGTCGGTGTCTGGTCGTGCCTGATTGGTTTCTATACTGACATTTGTGGACGTGTCTTGCGTAGAGAACTTAACAGCAACGATTGCTCATTTGGGTCTAAGGACTAATATTGTTCATTTTCTTTCTCAGAAAATCGTTTTCTTGGTAGATTAAAGTCATCTCCGAATCGTTAGGAATGAAATGAATAATTTGGAGCAAAATCGTAAGCGTCGTTCATGTTGACGAAAGCGCGCCAAAAAGAAAAGCAATGATGCGCATGCGTATTAATTTTATAATGTACCCAGCCATTGTACCCAGCATGCTCGCTCTGCAATCTTCAGAAACGTTGTGGATATCAGTAGGACTAGTGTAGAAGATTCTGCCAGAACGTAACATCATGCAGCTGAGGAAAATATATCAGTTTTAAAAAGGAATGATTTGTCAATCACTTTGAAAATACTTGTTCTTATTAAACGTCTTGTAAAACTGTTGTGTTGCTTACAAAGGCCAAGAGAATTGATATAATACGGGCATATTCAACTATTTCAAGTTACATCATCGATGTGAGGTTCTCTAAGTGATGATCAGGTTTTTAATAAGGCATGAGCGTACATACACAATAAAAAAACACATGTTGTAGACAATTGAAAAATTAATCATTTTAAGAAATATACAACAAATGAAATTACTTCAACTAATATCATTATAACTTATATATTTATAAATGCCACGTTTGCGTCTATTACAGTTCCTTTGAAAATAAAGCATGAATTAATTATCAATTTCAATAGCTTGCTGAAACCAAAAATAAGCACATCAACACAAGCTACATTTAGAAATGGATAATTTCGGTCAATTTGAGAGGTAGAGGCTTATAACTACATACCTTGATGGTAGCTATGTTTCAAGTGATGTTTAGTTTTCTAGTTCTCAAGTTTTAGTCCAGCTTTTCAACATCCTTATTCATGTCTATACAAATTCAACGGTAAATAAAACATTTTTCTCATTTTGGACTACGTTCAAAAAAGAATGTCATGTACATTCATAATTTTAAAGTAGAAGTTTCAAAAATTCATGTTGATAACGTTACTATGTTCGTAATTGCATGTGTTGTTCGTTATGACACAACAATTTCCTTCAATGTACGTGCAAAGTTGATATTAACAATAAAATTGCTGTTTGAAATAATAGAGTTATATTTATATAATTTTTATACTGGAGAAAGCTGGGGGGAATTGTTGCCAGTTTTGTTCAATATAGATGCGACATAAATTATTTTAAGAATGGTCAACGGCGAAATACAGCTTGTAACAAATTTTACTGCATCAAAAGTATGTACACAAAATATAGCTATATTTGAAAATGATCCGTATCGAGTGCCACGTTTTAAAGGTTTCTTTGTAAGTCGTGTATGAATAAATTACTTAATTTAATTGAGTGCTTAGACAGAATGTGAAAGCAAGAAACATAGCTCACTTGTAGACAGGAATACAGTTGGGTTGAGTTTTAGGCATAGAAATTTATATAATTTGAAAATTTGTTATGTTTCATACAACAAAATATCAAATAAGTAAACAACAGGATGTGTAATTAACTCATTCATAATCTCCACTCTATTGATAAAAGTATGAGCTGCAACGATGCCTTCAATTAAGAAGGAGCTAGAATTCTCGCCCCAATACAGTACATCCGGTCAAAAGGCCCGATAATTTATATCGTTACATCTATCTCCTCGTAAGGAACAAAACAAGGTTATAATTTGAAGGACCTAAGAGCAGTTTTCATAAAATTGGTAATCACATGTAGAACGTTCTTCATAATGTACGTCCTATAGAAGATTTTCTTTTGACTGAGGGGTTTGATGTGTCGTTGTCTGGTCGTGCCTGATTGGTTTCTATACTGACATTTGTGGATGTGTCTTGCGTAGAGAACTTAACAGCAACGATTGCTCATTTGGGTTTTCGGACTCAGATTGTTCATTTTCTTTCTCAGAAAATCGTTGTCTTGGTAGATTAAAGTCATCTCCGAATCGTTAGAAATGAAATGAGTAATTTGGAGCAAAATTGTAAGCGTCGTTCATGTTGACGAAAGCAGGCCAAAAAGAAAAGCAATAATGCGCATGCGTATTAATTTTATATTGCAGCACCCAGCCATTGTACCCATCATGCTCGCTCTGCAATCTTCAGAAACGTTGTGAATATCAGTGGGACTAGTGTAGAAGATTCTGCCAGAACGTGACATCATGCAGCTGAGGAAAATATATCTGTTTTAAAGAGGAATGATTTGTCAATCACTTTGAAAATACAAGTTCTTATTAAACGTCTTGTAAAATTGTCGTGTTGCTTACAAAGGCCAAGAGAGTTGATATAATACGGGCATATTCAACTAATTCAAGTTACATCATCGATGTGAGGTTCTCTAAGTGATCACGTCTTTAATAAGGCATGAGCGTACATACACAAAAAGAAAAACACATGTTGTAGACAAGTGAAAAATTAATCATTTTAAGAAATATACAACAAATGAAATTACTTCAACTAATATCATTATAACTTATATATTTGTAAATGCCACGTTTGCGTCTATTACAGTTCCTTTAAAAATAAAGCATGAATTAATTATCAATTTCAATAGCTTGCTGAAACCAAAATAAGCACATCAAAACAAGCTACATTTAGAAATGGATAATTTCGGTCAATTTGAGAGGTAGAGGCTTATAGATACATACCTTGATGGTACCTATGTTTGAAGTGGTGTATAGTTTTTTAGTTCTCAAAGTCTTAGTCCAGCTTTTCAACATCCTTATTCATGTCTATACAAATTCATTGTTTTTGCCGTGAGTATAAACACAGAGAGATTGAAAGCAGGATTACATGAGCATGCTGGCGATATGAACGGTAAATAAAACATTTTTCTCATTTTGGACTACGTTCAAAAAAAAATGTCCTGTACATTCATTATTTTAAAGTAGAAGTTTCAAAAATTCGTGTTGATAACGTTAATATGTTCGTAATTGCATGTGTTGTTCGTTATGACATAACAACTTCCTTCAATGTACGTGTAAAGTTGATATTAACAATAAAATTGCTGTTCGAGATAATAGAGTTATATTTATATAATTTTTATACTGGAGACAGATAGGGGGAATTATTGCGAGTTTCGTTCAATATAGCTGCAACATAAGTTGTTTTAACAATGGTCAACGGCAAAATACAGCTTGTAATCAATTTTACTGCATCAAAAGTATGTGCACAAAATATAGCTATATTTGAAAATGATCCGTATCAAGTGCCACGTTTTAAAGGTTTCTTTGTAATTCGTGCATATAAAACAATTACTTAATTCAATTGAGTGCTTAGACAGAATATCAAAAGAAGGATACATATCACTTGTAGACAGAAATACAGTTAGGTTGAGTTTTAGGCATAAAAATTTGTATAATTTGTAAATTTGTTATGTTTCATACAACAAAATATCAAATAAGTAAACAACAGGATGTGTAATGACTCATTCATAATCTCCACTCTATTGATAAAAATATGAGCTGCAAGATGCCTTCAATTAAGAAGGCGCTAGAATTCTAGCCCCAATACAAAACATCCTGTCAAAAGGCCGATAATTTATATCGTTACATCTATCTTCTCGTAAGGAACTAAACAAGGTTATAATTTGAAGGACCTAAGAGCAGTTTTCATAAAAATTGGTAATCACATGTAGAACGTTCTTCATAATGTACGTCCTATAGAAGATTTTCTTTTGACTGAGGGGTTGGATTTGTCGGTGTCTGGTCGTGCCTGATTGGTTTCTATACTGACATTTGTGGACGTGTCTTGCGTAGAGAACTTAACAGCAACGATTGCTCATTTGGGTCTAAGGACTAATATTGTTCATTTTCTTTCTCAGAAAATCGTTTTCTTGGTAGATTAAAGTCATCTCCGAATCGTTAGGAATGAAATGAATAATTTGGAGCAAAATCGTAAGCGTCGTTCATGTTGACGAAAGCGCGCCAAAAAGAAAAGAATGATGCGCATGCGTATTAATTTTATAATGTACCCAGCCATTGTACCCAGCATGCTCGCTCTGCAATCTTCAGAAACGTTGTGGATATCAGTAGGACTAGTGTAGAAGATTCTGCCAGAACGTAACATCATGCAGCTGAGGAAAATATATCAGTTTTAAAAAGGAATGATTTGTCAATCACTTTGAAAATACTTGTTCTTATTAAACGTCTTGTAAAACTGTTGTGTTGCTTACAAAGGCCAAGAGAATTGATATAATACGGGCATATTCAACTATTTCAAGTTACATCATCGATGTGAGGTTCTCTAAGTGATGATCAGGTTTTTAATAAGGCATGAGCGTACATACACAATAAAAAACACATGTTGTAGACAAGTGAAAAATTAATCATTTTAAGAAATATACAACAAATGAAATTACTTCAACTAATATCATTATAACTTATATATTTGTAAATGCCACGTTTGCGTCTATTACAGTTCCTTTAAAAATAAAGCATGAATTAATTATCAATTTCAATAGCTTGCTGAAACCAAAAATAAGCACATCAACACAAGCTACATTTAGAAATGGATAATTTCGGTCAATTTGAGAGGTAGAGGCTTATAACTACATACCTTGATGGTAGCTATGTTTCAAGTGATGTTTAGTTTTCTAGTTCTCAAGTTTTAGTCCAGCTTTTCAACATCCTTATTCATGTCTATACAAATTCAACGGTAAATAAAACATTTTTCTCATTTTGGACTACGTTCAAAAAAGAATGTCATGTACATTCATAATTTTAAAGTAGAAGTTTCAAAAATTCATGTTGATAACGTTACTATGTTCGTAATTGCATGTGTTGTTCGTTATGACACAACAATTTCCTTCAATGTACGTGCAAAGTTGATATTAACAATAAAATTGCTGTTTGAAATAATAGAGTTATATTTATATAATTTTTATACTGGAGACAGCTGGGGGGAATTGTCGCCAGTTTCGTTCAATATAGCTGCGACATAAATTGTTTTAAGAATGGTCAACGGCGAAATACAGCTTGTAATAAATTTTATTGCATCAAAAATATGTACACAAAATATAGCTATATTTGAAAATGATCCGTATCGAGTGCCACGTTTTAAAGGTTTCTTTGTAAATCAAGTATGATTAAATTACTTAATTCAATTGAGTGCTGAGACTGAATGTGAAAGCAAGAATACATAGCACTCGCTTGTAGACAAGAATACAGTTGGGTTGAGTTTTAGGCATAAAAATTTATATAATTTGTAAATTTGTTATGTTTATAAAACAAAATATCAAATAAGTAAACAAAATATCAAATAATTAAACAACAGGATGTGTAATCAACTACAAATTTGACACATACAATGCAATATTTTCAGTTTAAATTTGTAGACAAACTGTTGTGTCTGTTGTTCCTTATAAATATTAAAATTGATTTTCACACTAAAGACAACAGAAATTTTTTCGTGCTAGTAGATTTACATCAAGGTTTGACTATATACAATAAAATGGTGGCGCAAAATTCGTCATTTAAACTTCGCATAGTAAAGCAGAACTTGTAATAGTGCAAATTCATTGACGAAACTTCGAGCATAAAAAGACTGCTGTCTAAATCTCAAATAATTAATCTCTTTTATTATCAGCTGAAACCATCCTATTCTTCATGAATACTTAACATGAAATTACGTGCATGCATCATCGATAGTTGGCAATAAATTATTGAAATACAGTCGACCCAAGTACATAAAAAGAGCTTTCATGATCTTGTCCTCACTCCAAACTTGTGGATATCAATCACATATCACAAAATGGCGAAATATACTTTTGCGTTGGTCGTAATTTTTTGTATTGGTGTTATTATTGAAGGGTAAGTAATCATATTTTAAGTTCAATTTTGGGATTTTTCACTAAATTTTGTTGAACGTTATCAATGTTTCTATGTTTTACGGCATATCTTAACGAGTAAATAAACATCAAGCCGTTTTCAGTTAGCTGCACTATGTTAAGTCATCAATCTATTTACGAGTTTGTTTTAAAACAATTTCATTTTTTGGCTATACTAAATCAATGATTAGAGGAATATTATGTCGTAATGTATATAGTAATAAAGAAAGTAAATGTATTGATCTCATTTCCTTCATTATTTCCATAGAGCAAATATAACAAGTGAAAAAGAAATTAATATAAAAGATAATTTCTCATCGCTCAACTTTGACATGAAACGCACTTTAAAAGTTGTTCAAAGAAATGTAACATTAAAGAAACAAATTGCATTAATAAAAGGGCAAATAAAGACACTGAAAAAATATCACAAAAATCTACAAACACAAAAAAAGCACCTTCAAGCATTTAAGATTGCGCTTCATTCCAAAATCAACAAGACACATGTACAAACTTACAAATTAGTAAAATTGCAAAAACAAATTAAGAACATTGAACTGAAAATGATTAATTTGTCATTACAAATGAAAACAATCGATGTGAAAGTAGCAACAATTCAAGCACAGCTAAAAAAACTAGAAAAACAACTGAAAGCTCTTTACAAAGAAAATAGAAAACTCACAGGAAAGTCACAAAGAGGTAAGAATGATTTTAAGTAACAGTAGTGACATTTAACAACATATTATTTCATGGCAGATCTCTTTGTTTACATTACCAGGGAAAGACTGCGCAGATCTGTACAAAAAAGGTGAAAAAAAGAACGGAGTTTATCAAATTAATCCTGATGGTCAGGGTTACTTTAAGGTTTTCTGTGATATGAAGTCATCTGGTGGAGGTTGGACTGTGTTTCAACGACGTCAAGATGGAAGTGTAAACTTCTATCGAGGTTGGAAAGACTATAAACAAGGTTTTGGCGATCTTACTTCTGAATTCTGGCTTGGATTGGATAAAATATACAGACTAACATCTGCAAGGAGAAATAAACTTCGTGTAGACCTGGGAGACTGGTCAGGAAACAAAGCATATGTTGAATATGATTATTTTGCTGTAAAGAATGAAAATAAAAAATATCAACTAAGTCTTGGTAAATATTCTGGTAAGTTTTGATATATACAATATTTTTGAATGATTTGAGTGATTGCAGTTTGTAACGGGGGATTCTCCAAGTTTTGATAAAAACGGATAGTGACGGTTGGTTTCGAACTAAAGCCTTGTTTGTCAATAAAAATATAATTAATTTTGAACTTAAAAACTTACCGAAAAAATACAACAAACAAACGTAAAGTAAAAAGTCGTTCTGTTTTGCGAATGATTCTGTTGCAACGATTGATTCTGACATGTAATGATTGTGATTAGCTTATCATCAATATTAAATGCAAATTCAACTGCAGCTTTGTAAATTAGGTAATGATAACCTAGCACATGAACAACATGTATCTAATAAACACGACTAAATTATTTGGTACATAAGAAAGAATCTATACTGTGAATATCATTGTCTAATGATCATTGACTGAAATCTTTTTTACAAAATGCATGCATTGAAGTAAGCCCCTAGCATTCAATTGTAAATGCAAGTTTTAATGCCTAAATGATATATACATTATAACTTGTTCTTACATGTAAAAGTTTTTTCTGAACTTATAACCTACGGTGGCCGGTACGGGTCACCAGAAAAATAATTTAGAAAGCATAACAAACAATAAGAAAACATCATTCAAAGTCATACTACACATTTCAAAATACTCACTACACATTTCAAAATACTCGCTACACATTTCAAAATACTCACTACACAGTTCAAAATACTCGCTACACATTTCAAAATACTCGCTACACATTTCAAAATACTCACTACACATTTCAAAATACTCACACACATTTCAAAATACTCACTACACATTCGTCCCAGTCTTACCCTGGTCTGGCCTGCTCACGGTCATCATTAGTTTCCATCTACGAAACTGACGTGACATCATAAAGTAAGCATATTAAATATATAATTCCGCATTTCACAAGACAAACAAATTGAGACATTGGGATAAAAGCATGAAAATATTGGCTGAACTCTAATCAGAAATTCTTCCAGGGTTATGCTGGACTTGGTCGGGCAACAACATTAGTAGACGATCTACATATCGCAAGCAAATGTATTTGCAGTGGCTTTCGACACATGTCCGTACTTTAATAGCAAAAATTTGAGTATATGAATTTGCATTCGCTATGTCGCGTACGTACTTGTGTGATGCGTTACAAAAATAACAAGGAAACCAAAGAGGAAATTTACACATAGTGCTATAATTTGTTGCACAAGAAACGCCAAAGAAAAATGAAAATTTCGGTAATTTCAATAAAAGCAGTTCCAGTCAATAATGATTGTCGAATATCACCAATATACAATTATATGTAATCAGACCACTCATGTTGTGTTGTCTAATCAAGACCAAGAAATCCCTGGAAGTTAAAAGGCATCGATTTATCGACATGTTATGTGCCGAATTCCACATAGACAACATATCGCCACAATAGCATCAAAATATCCTTACGCGTGCTGAACTTTTAGTAAAATCGGAAGCGTATATTTGTATTAGCTTTCTGCCATCACGTCAATTTCGTATATGTAAACTAATGACAAACGTGGTTAGGCCAGACCAGGGTAAGACTGGGACGAATGTGTAGTGAGTATTTTGAAATGTGTAGTGAGTATTTTGAAATGTGTAGTGAGTATTTTGAAATGTGTAGTGAGTATTTTGAAATGTGTAGTGAGTATTTTTAAGAAATGTGTAGTGAGTATTTTGAAATGTGTAGTGAGTATTTTGAAATGTGTAGTGAGTATTTTGAAATGTGTAGTGAGTATTTTGAAATGTGTAGTGAGTATTTTGAAATGTGTAGTGAGTATTTTGAAATGTGTGAGTGAGTGGATCTGAATGTGTAGTGAGTAATGTGTAGTGAGTATGAATGTGAATGGAAATGTAATGGAAGTGAATGTGTAATGGTAAGAGTGAGTGGTAATGTGAATGGAAATGTGTAGTGAGTATTTTGAAATGTGTAGGAATGGTGTAGAAAATGTGTAAGTGGTAGAAAAGTATTTTTGAAATGTGTGAAAGATTTTGAATGTGAAGGTACTTGAAATGTGTATGGAATGTGAAGTGGAATGGAGAGGGATGGAATGTGAGTGAGTAGAAATGTGTATGGAATGTGAAGTGAGTGGAATGTGTAAGTGAGTGAAGTGAATGTGAATGGAATGTGAAAGGAAATGTGTAGTGAGTATTTTGAAATGTGTGTGAGTATTTTGAAATGTGTGTAGTGAGTATTTTGTAATGTGAATTTTAAATGAGTATTTTGTAATGTGTAGTGAGTATTTTGTAATGTGTAGTGAGTATTTTGTAATGTGTGGAGTATTTTGAAATGTGTAGTGAGTATTTGAAATGTGTAGTGAGTATTTTGAAATGTAGTGAGTATTTTGAAATGTGTAGTGAGTATTTTGTAATGTGTAGTGAGTATTTTGAATGTGTAGTGAGTATTTTGAAATAGTGTAAATGTGTAGTATTTTGAAATGTGTAGTGAGTATTTTGAAATGTGTAGTGAGTATTTTGAAATGTGTAGTGAGTATTTTGAAATGTGTAGTGAGTATTTTGAAATGTGTAGTGAGTATTTTGAAATGTGTAGTGAGTATTTTGAAATGTGTAGTGAGTATTTTGAAATGTGTGGTATGATTTTGAGTGATATTTTCTTATTGTTTGTTATGTTTTTTAAATTATTTTTCTGGTGACTCGTACCGGCCACCGTAACAACCTAAAACATAACACAAATTTATTAAAGTTTACATGGACAATTCACATTTATAAGCATGAAACACAAATATAACAATTGAGCCTCGGAAAATACACAAGTACGCCATTAAGTAAGGTATGTTTCATACGTCAAACTTTACATACACCGAACAGAGCCCTCTATTTCTAAGAGTTGGGACATGTATTGTTCTCTGGTTTGCGAACGTTGACTGGACAATATTGATCGCATGATTAATTTCCGCCATTTTCCTTCCTAATTTTGAAATTTCAACTAGTGATGTATGGTTACAATAATTGATTATTTGATAGCTAAAACATGTAACTGCATATCGCCAGAATCATGGAATCGGGAAAAAAGAAAGAAATGGCTTTACGATAGATTGGATTGTGCGTAGTGACCATTGTGTCTAACTGACCTTGACCTAAAGGTTTATTTACGAAGATTGTTTTCGAGTAAAACATCATTGGAAATAATTGTCCTAATGCTAACGATTCAATAGTTTTCTTACACACAAAGCCTGTTCTTTATAGAGAGATTATGACTAATCATTATGTTCGGAAATTACTCTAATTTGCAAGTTCTTAACCACTTCAAGAGATAATTATTGCTAATTCAATATGCTAAAATAATATACTTTCGAATATTGTATTTTGCATGTTTAGGAAATCCTTTGAAAGTATAGTATCAGTAATCATAAATAAAATATTTACTGAAACAGCTGGTTAAAAGGGATTTGTTACGTGGATAAATTGTTGGCTGTTTTTCGTCAGCAAAACTTGGGGTGTTTACAGCACTGACGAACGTAGTACATTGTCCTTAAAGCTCTTATTCTAAAAGCCTTTGCCACTTTGCCATGGAAGATACATATGTGATTAAAAACTCAAGGTAAAACCTTGTTGATCAACATCATCTCGCCCATAATTGTCTTTGAGAAGCTAAGCCGCCAAATTTAACGGCTTTTTGAAAAGTTAACTATGCTCCATAGCATAGTTAACTTTAACTACCTTTTAACTGCAGTATTATACCTGACAAGCATTGATTCAGATCTGGACGTATTTGTGTGTAGTAACGTGTTTTCTCGGCCAAGAATATGCAACCAAAATGTCGAGTATTTTCTTTACCGCAGGTAAATTATAAGCAATGAAAACAAATATCTTGGTGCTGTAGTTGAAAACTGTGAGAATATACGCTCACATACGTAAAAACGTCTAGCAGTGGGTCACGATTAGTTTCAAAGCACGAACTAGCCAACCGCGAATGCAGCTAAAATCTGCAAAATTGAGTTTGGTTTGCAGTAATTATTCACAAAAACGCCAAAAGCTTGATTGTAGTTTCCAACATATTTAAAATTTCCATTAAACAAGACGAAATTTCTTTATTCTTTTGCTCATTTAGCCAATTTCACACACTTTTATTATAAGTTTAACTTGCAAGTAGTCACGAAAATGGCGGCTCCGTGCTCGCCCTTGACCCGTCGTCCTAGCTCTTACAAATAGAGGGCTCTGGCACCGAACGCGTTAAAGACAAAAGAAAATGAGATAAAATTCCTCGTTGCATTCGGCTCATGTAAAATGCGACGTATGAAACAGGCCTAAGTAAACAAATTTTGAAAATTTATAATACAATAAGAATCAGGCCAGGTACCAATTGAGACCAATGTGAATAGACTGGATGCAGAAAAAACTTCAGGGCAATGACTATGGGGATGAAAGAAAGTTAAAAAGCCTTCATGACATGTAGCTAATTCGTAGACATCTTTTACTTTTGCGATATATTTGATTTCGAGAAGGATAAATGGTTTAATAAATTAGCAACAACTATAATACCAGCGAGTACATTGTGCATGATTGTGGTTGGAACATCCGCTAACATTAACCAGTAAAATTCGATTTTAGCTTTGTATAAAACTTAATAACGAGCATGGTACTGAATATATCTAATGAAAACTCAGGATTGTAATATGTTTCGGTATTTATACCACTTCTTTTTCACTCTATAAATTAAATGAAAAACTAATTGACAAATCTCATAAAAGCCTCGTAAACAAATGACCATTAAAAAATCTCTTGAAATCTTCTACTAACGACATAAAACACGTGTTGGGTATTTTCTGCAATTCTTAAGGAGAAATGTAAGATAACATTAGTTAAATGACGTAAAATTCTTCTGAGCAAAATTACTTTTTTTAGGAAATGCTGGAGATTCATTATCTTATCATAATGGCATGGCGTTTTCAACCAAAGATTCAGATAATGATAAATATAAAGGGAACTGCGCCATTAACACCAAAGGTGCTTGGTGGTATAATAGATGTAATACTTCCAACCTAAATGGACACTACTATAGTAAAGGATACAGCAGTTGGAGTGGTGTGGTTTGGTTTCGTTGGAAAAATAACACTAAATCCTTAAAGTTTACTGAGATGAAACTAAAACCATAAAGAATTTTTAAATATTGTGTTTCCTTAACTTTGATTAATATATCTTATGAAACTTCGCATAATATTGACATATGATAATAACTCTTAATAGAACCTTTACAATCATCATTCTTTTAAAAAAGCGTGGAAACAATTGTTGAAAAATGCTGTGGTAAAATAATAATTTTTTTCCCCAAATGATGGCATATTTGATGATATAGTTTTGAAGTGACGTCTTTTCTAACATTTCTTTGACGTTTGCGGTGAAAGTTAATTGCAAAAAATTGTGATGTTTTTTGCTCGTTCTCACGCCATCTTGGATTTATCATGCATGTCATGCGAGTATCTGATATATTATCTGGTTTGTCATGAGCAATCTTGTTCCCGCCAAAGATAATGGTTGCACATAACCTATAGACAACACAGTGTGTCTAACTGCTTGTTGTTTAGATAGATTTAAACCACTATATTATTCATTTGAAAATTTGAGTAGAAATTCACACACAAGTGAACGCAGTCATACACACCTTACATTTAAGCCCATTGCTGTTCGTAATTGGTAAATTCAAAAGAAAACCGTTATTCAAGAAGACTTTGAATGGAGACGCAAACAAACACATGTGTTGGTGCAGTTAATTTACATATATGCTACTACATAATGATATTCTTTCTAATCACCAAAAAATGAATATCTCGATCTTCAGCAACTTGTGACGGGCTCAAAATTCACCCTAAACATCACAATGGATTTTACCATTATCATGACGCAACTTGTCTCCAGGTTTCTCCTCGGAAAAATGCCTGAAATGATTTAAACATTCCATTCGAAAAAGGGCGTATTCCTGAAAGAAAGAGCAGTAATCAAGCAGATGAAGACATATTAACTACAGCTCAACTTTAGCCTTAAGGAGGTCCATAACATCATCCCATTACACTGAAAAGGCAATCTTATTAAAATAATATTTACTAAGGAGTAATTGAGACAAAAGTTACTGCAAAAAATGTAAACAAGTTTGTGTACATGTTATGTTAGAGGGCCCATTCAACGTACAGTAATGCACCAGTTAAACTGCAGGCAAATAACTTTGTTTGTCTGTTTAGGTTTTAATAAAAGTTCCTATGAACATATTTTAATAAATAAAAAGAGGAATATTTTTTATCTATCCTTTATAAAACAACAAAAAGATATAACGCAATACGCTGCTTGGTCTACAGGTGAGTTTTCAATTGCCTTTGCAAATGTGGAAAGTTGATCTCATCTTAATCAATTAAATCAATTAAAGATAATTTAGAATAGATAATTTCGCAAAACATGTTTTATTTCAAATAATACTGGTCAATGGTGATAAAAGGCTTGTAACTCATAGTTCTTTTTAAGAACTGTTTAAACTACCATCTTGCAGTTAACGTAATATTTGCGTAATATTTCCTATTTAAGTTGAGGTTCGCATTTCTCTATATATTTTCTCACGTTTTTAAATACGTTGTATGTGAGAGTAATACGTTGTATGTGAGACTAATACGTTGTATGTGAGACTAATACGTTGTATGTGAGATTAATACTTTGAATGCGAGATCTTTCGATTAATAATACAGCTGGGAATTGTTTTATATTGATTTGATTATTAAAAGAAATCCGTGCATAACGAAAAATTCAATATCTCTCATACGTGCATAACCTCTGTTCTGAAAAAATCCACATCGAGAGAACTTAGTGCAAAAGACCATGCATTTACACAAATGTTTTTGAAGAAATAACGCTAATTATTTGCAAAAAGATGATGAAGTGGTAGTGCACATTTCTAACAGTGTTTGATGTAGAATGTTCCTTATAAGACATGGTATTTTAAAAATATCAAATGTTGTACATTACCACGGTACGACAATACAACAACCAAAAAGGCAATTCAGTCACGTGATGTAAATCTAACGGTAAACAACACTATTGAACAATTCATCTACTTACGAGATAACCAAAATTAATCGAGGATTTATAACTTTGAAGAATTGAAAACATTGCCCAAAAGAAATGAGAAAGAAGAGACAATCTATAGAAAAAAAGGAAGACAAAGCTGATGTTATTTCATAAATATTTTTAAAACATACGTAAAATTAACATTTATTCGCAGAAAAACAAAACCGACGCCAATATGTAAGCACATGCGTGCAATATGTAAAAAGTTACTTGAATAGGCTTTGTAATAAAAGCCTATAAAGGTATACATAAAACCGACCTGAATTAAATGGCGTCATTAAACCCTAAACTGACGTATTCCAAAAACTGAACCTTAAATAAACGAGAACTACGACAGTGAAAATAAATCTGTCAACACATACGTACTCATAGAAATCTAAGAATTTCCAAAATTTATCTTGCGCTATATTAATACAAGAGGACGATTGTTATAATATTTACCTATCAGCTTCGTCGATAACTTTTTCAATCTCGTCTAACGTGACGTCAGTCGTTTCATTGTAAGCTTGTAAATACGCACGGACAAAAAATACCTGAAATTTCGATAAGTTTGGAATAAGAATTTTTCACAAAATTTTTATTTCATGAGCCCGCGTCTTTCCGCTGACTTTGACTACCAAATCCGCCATGTTTTTGACCACGGGCCGCGCGCCAATAATTTATAGTAATTTTGTTAACGTGTTCCCTCCAGGTCTTATAGAACTCAATGGAAATACCCCTACGGCAAAACACCGGGGGGACCTCTACGGCAAAACACCGAGGGCAAACCTCTACGGCAAAACAATGAGAGAAATAACTCTACAGCAAAACACCGGGGTAAAACCTCTACGGCAAAACACCGAGGAAAATACCTTTACGGCAAAACACCGACGACAAAAAACTTCCTCGGCAAAACACCGAGATGAGAAAGCAAAAAAAGCAAAGCAATCAAAAGCAAAAAAAAACACGAGAAAAACAGAAATAAAGTACTGAGAATAAATAGTTACACCGCAAGGAATAGCAAAATCATCACATCATTAACACATGGTAGCTATAAATGTTGTAATTCAAATCAAGCAATAATAGATAGCCACATTATAAACAGCAGATCATCCTTTTCATATGAACTATACTTCGAGAGTTATTTTTAACCATAAAATTGTTGTTATCTTTTCTTAAATTATTACATATATTAGTGAATTACCTTTTGATCATAAGAAGGATATTTGGTGACGTCTCCAGTAAAAAAGGGATAATGTGGATGATTATAATCAAATATCCATTCACTGAAATGATTACCAATATCGTATCCTCTGAATCAAAAAATAACAAATATTACAAAAAAATTTGACAAGATAAACAATGTTTAAAACAAGAAAAGTTGAAAAGTTTTGATGAAATAAATAATTTAAAATGTTCGAAAAGAAAGATAAGCAGCCGGTTGAAAAGCATTATGGGTGCAATATGGTTATTTTGTTGCCAGCTCTTCAAATGAACAACATTTGTCATTCGTGACAGATGAGTCAAATATCAAACGCGCGTTTGTTTAATTTTGTCGATCACACTTGTCACGAATAACAAGTACGCGCGGCAAGTTTACCAGTGTGCGGCGGGCTTAAGTGAACAAACAAAACCCTTGCTATCATAATATTTGACAACTATACACAGCGCAAAGATGAAATAATATTCCAGATATAGAACTAAATGTCTCCTTTCTTCCTTCCTCATTTAAGATAAACAAATATAGAAACGTAGACAAGATAAACAAATTTAGAAACGTTAAAAATAAGAAAAGTTGAAATGTTCTGATGAAACAAATATTCAAAATTTTCTAAGAGAATGATAAGCAGCGGGTTGCAAAGCATTATGGGTACAAATTGGCTGGTTTTTGACAGCTCTTCCCCCTTACTCCATTGTTGACTGCTTTAAGTGATCAAACGAAAATCTTACTATCATAATATTTGACAACTCTACGCAGCGCGAAGATGAAATAATATTCCTTTCTTCCTTCCTCATTTGCGGTTTAAACGAAAATTATCCTTCTCTCTTTTTTTTCACCTGTAGTTATAACAAGAATATTCGAAATCAATCACACGAATTTTTGCCTCATCGAGATCTTCATTTGCTTTCACCAACAAGTTTCCTGTAGGTATTTAAATTATATTTAACCTTTATTAAAAACCCATAATATTCACAATGACATAGTTGGAAATCTTTACCTGGTTGTACGTCATTATGGCAGAAGAAAACTGGTGATTGGCTGTTTTCAACCACGTGCCTAACACATCAACAACAAAATAAAAATAATGTAAGCAACACTTAAATTCATTGATCCTAAAACATCTTTTTGACACATAAGTATTTTCAGTATAATTAACTTTGTATATGGTTTGTGCATAGCATTTCAGCAGTTGATGTCTCATATTATATCATTAAATAAATTAAGGATTTGTGATTATGTGAATTTTAAGTAATTTAAAAATCTATTGTTTTTATTCATTTAGTACTGTGGTTGATTGACTGTGTGTCCAAATAAGTAAGTACGTCATACAATTGCTTTCATATAATGTTCTTCTTTGTAAAAATTTTTAAGTAAAGGCTACGTAGTCTAAAGGCAGCATAATAAAAAAAAACCACAGAAAAATAAGAAGCCATTATTATTCTATCAAGACGTTGATATTTGATCTTCATCAGGCATGAAGCATACAATTTTCAACATCATTGTCAGACTACTGACTAGCAGTAGTAGTAGCTTAAACAGAAAACGACAACTTAATGCATAGGTATAAAAATAAGCATTCATTTATCACGTAAGTAATAAAAAATGTTTACTGTGTTTCTAAACGCGGGAAAGTTTGGAAGAAAAAATAAATTGCGTGCCAAGCACGAGCACGAATTGAGTACTTTCAATGAATTTCGAGTTGCTCCGAAACTTTCACAAGTATGTATTTCATTCATAAATTAAAACCAACATTAAAAAGACAAACTTAACGACATATTGTTTAAATTTTCCGTGTCCACGCAAACCACGCAATCTGCGATATTTTCGCGAGACTGAAAAATGGTTTCTGATACACGGGGTTTTCGAGCATTCAACCAATCAGCGCCAATCATAAATTTATTTTCAAAATATCATAAAATCGAAGACTAAGACAACTTTAAAAAAGAGAAAACCGTCAGTATCATCTACTTTTCTATCTAATCCTACATCGTACGTACGCTCAGTCAGTCACAATGTATGATCTCAATTATAATCACAAAATCATTTAAATATCCCACCTGTAGACACAATAGTTTCCCAACAAGCTCCTCCCCCCACACGTGACCGGTCTCCCTAGTCCCCATGACCGTTCTCTTTTTGAGTAGCTGACTATTTTCCATACCTGATAAATTTGAGAATTTCATCAATGTCAAATTTATGAAAATTTCATCCAAGATCTTTAATTTATCAACATTGGAAAATTTAAGACCTTTAATTTCCTTCACAAATCTATCAAAAAAAATAGACTATAAACAATCAATGTATTATATACTGTACACTGTCATAAAATAATAATATAAGGACATGGTGAGGTCATTTCGAACAATATGAAGTCTTGAATATATTTTAAAAAAAGTTGTAACAGAAAGTGGGTTTACTTCAAAACTAATTCAGATTGGTGCAAAAGATTCAAAAGAGTCAAACTCACATTTGAAGTGAATCCAAAAACCAAGTTCCTTCCTTTGAGAGAGGAAGTTTTAGCTTATGAAACGCAGCTACATGCTCAGCTATTTGTTGTGATAAACGAGGATACTGGACTTCCCGACTAGTCAATGCTCGAACCTTTAACAAATTACAACACAAGTAAATTAAACTTTGGTAAACAATGCAAAAATTAATGTTGCAAAAATTTCAACTATTTAACAGTTTAATTCAAAAATTATAAACTCTTTCCAATACAAATGAGAATGAATTGACAATTTTTCTATACAGACTGTATAGTTAGTATGAAATAATCAATACTGATTATACTACTATCGGTGGAATACAAAACTCAGCTGTGCTAGAACAGATTTAAATTGATATTAAAGCAGGAAAGCTAGGGCACGTTCTTTCCATACAAGCAGGTGATATAGTCACTACAAAAAGATAAACTTTCCTTACATTAATCGCTGATTTTTTTTCTACTTACATTAGGAATAAACTGTTCAAGTCTTCCATCAGGAAATATACCATACAACTCTGGGGCCATCTTTTTTTCAGCTAAAAGGCCACAAATGATGCATTCCTCCATCATGCGAACATTGTTGTCAGACAAATCTGCATAGAATGCACCATATAGCCGAAGCAGTGCTTTGTTCACACCATCAGGATTATAATTTGCATATTCATGTGGCAAAGAGCACAGAAACAAATGATTCGTTAATCCACCACTGTAATTGTTAAAATAATCACTCAAACTATGATTTCATCTCCTCTGAGAGGTAAGTTTATCAACAAAAGAGCAAAGATAGACATGCATAGAGGTAAGATCAGAGCATTGGTTAAATAAATATACAAAATAAGCCCATTCTTAGATTAATCATATCTTACAAGATCTTTTCTTCCGGAAATTAATTTCTAAATCAAAGGTACTATTATGAAGATTATTTTGCATATAAAACAAGGATGCTTATTTGAAATCCATCACACTTTGCAATCTGCAGCCTTGCTAAACTGCAGAAAATCTTGCATATTGCATCGAAACATATAAATCTTGAGAAGAAATTTAGTGTGGCAGCTAACACAAACAGCCCAGTTCTCTTTAAAACGTTGGCAATAGACATATAGAGAATATTTTCACCTTATATATCATTGAGAACATTTTACCATTAAATGAATGTCGCCCCATCTAAACAAGTATAGTTCTTACAGATACGTTTTTGAAAATTGTACTTACTGAATTCGTTCAATTTCAAAATGTTGTGGACTGATTTTCTTCCATTTCCCACCGAGATATTTTCGACATAAATTATAGCCGAAATCTTTGATCTTAGCGTCAACCATTTTTCCAGTAAGAAAATAATTTTTCAAACTACGCACAACTTTGTAGCCAAGCATGGTCGAAACCAGCCAAGCAACAGCGCAGTCATTTTAGTGATGGCTTGAGAAATGTGTCGAATTTACTCAGGAAATGACAACAATCACTGATTCTACGGTCGTTGAAGGTCGATCATGAGGTCGTTCGTTAAAATGACGTGAAAATTGCAAGAACTTTGCACAAATTACATGCAACAAATGACATGATTCAACGTAAACAAAGCTTTAGCCATGTGATACTTATTCATTCGTGCACAGAAGGCGGTCTACCATTTCCTAATATGAAGTGACGTGTAAACTTCATCCGTCAATATCACAAAATCATATCCAACAAAACTAATCGTGAAAATGCAGAGCCAAAGGACTTCTAGAAAACGTTTAACATGGTAATGAAATGTGCTTTTGACTCTGAAAATGACTACCGCTACGGTTGTCGAAACGTCAGTCAACAACAACAAAAACAGTCCTTCTCAGGACTATACCAACCTGGACGATCTACATTTACAAACTTGTAACGATACTCCCGGGTTCAAACCATTTACTTGAAATGTGCATTGCTTACAGTAACAATATTAAGTAATTAAATTATCATCGTTTATTAGTAATTGTAATATTACAGATGATTAGTGATAGCAAGAAATGTACTGTAACCAGTGGCGTAGCTAACAATTACTTTAGACGGGGCAGATAGATAAATTTTCCTACAACAGGGCGTGGTAATTTGGGCGTGGCTAAAAGAAATGTATTTTTTAAAAATGGGGTTTAAAAACTGTGTACAAATAAATATACATAAGGCTTTACCATTTTAAATAAACCAAGTGCAACAAATGTGAAATAACAAATAATTATTAAAAAATTCTTTTAGTTTTGTCGTTCGAGAAAGGCATTTGAAGTTCTCGAATCGAAATTTTTGAAATAATGTCTCGGTTGATGGAAATACATGCGAGGGTTGGCTGGCGCTGAATTTTTGTGAAAACAATCAAAAAAAATTTTATCCAATCTGAATGTATGAGAAAACAATTTTAGCCAATCTGCATTGCGTTTGAGCCTTCAAAAATATGACGAATGTGTAGATAAGTGTCCTAGCATAGGTTTTGAGAATTATTTGGCACAAAACCTAAAAATATTCGCATTTTTCATATGCATAGAAATACATTTTAATGTAAAAAACTACAAAATGCAGTAAAATTATTCATGACAAATGAGATGTATTTTTTCGTGGTCTTCCATGTACTTATAAGATATTTATGGTTTTGTGAAAGTGTTTCTGTTAACGGTCGTTAATTTGTCTTGAGAATTGCCTACCTTGTCAAAATATAAGACCTTTAACACCATATAAACGTGTAACTCACGCGAGATAGTCCACGTAACAAACATTGCATATAAATCACGAAATATACTTACTACATAAATCGATTGCATAAAAAACATAAACAGATTTCTGGGCAGCCAAAAGTAGGACATGCAATACTGGAAAGTTTCTACCTGTGAATGAAAGTGAACTAATATCTTCTACAATCTCGGGAAGAAACTGAAAAATTCTTTGTTGACCTTGTACAATTCCTCGTCAATGACATTCTATAGAGTACTCTTCTCACAACACTCCATCTGTATTTACTAATTTTGCAGAGTACACTTTGAATCTTCTTGCAAATCTCTTGTGGTGATTGCTTCCTCTTCATTTTCAAAATCAGATTCCTCGTCCTAAAGCAAAGACACTGGTATGTATTTTTTCATGTCTTTAGCAAGATCATGAACATTTCCCACTTCTATATACCACTTGAGCCAACGAGCTTAAAAAGTATAAGTATGATTCATCGATATTTCTTTAAACAACATCTCCAGAAGACTCGGTTTTGTTACTCGATTGTTTTGGTATTGAAACCTCGTCTTCGCCATGCGTATAGAGCTTTTATCGTCGTCAACATGGTTGGAATCATTCGTATTTTCTTTGGTCCACGAGTCACATTCCAAATTCTCGAGTGTACGCTAGATGCTTCAACTACGTTCAGTTTCATCAAGCTTTCTTCAACCTACAAACGACTTAATTACCAATAACTTAACTAAGAGTTACTTAAAACATACCCACGTGTTACAAATATCTCAACAAGTTACCAATAACATACCAATGAATTACCAACGAGTTACCGCTAGCAACCAACTTTTTAGTCTACATAGCTACATTGCTTAAAGCTCAAAAGCAAGTTTGCGAACTATTCTCAACACAGTAAAAAATTCATCAAAAAGATATGAAGCATTTTAAACAGTAAAACGGATATAAGTCAAAATGTAAGAAATCATAGACTGCTGCAGCTGCTTTTCTTCTTCAAGGAGATAAAAAGGAAATTTATATTTTGATACAAACACGCAACATTTGAAAGCTCAGATACTGTTCTTTCATTATGGTAAAAAATCACGAAAACCTATTTAGTTATTTAATATTAGTTATGCACCAGAGCGAGCTGAAGTTGGGTTGCTTTTTTGCGACACGGTTTCAGTAAATACTGTACCAAGTCCAAAGAAAAATCCATCTGCCAATCAATCAACACGAATAAAGACTGTAGAGATTTATTTCATTGTAAAGACTATAAGCAACAAATTCTACGACAAAATACATAATGTTCACTACACATATATTCATTATAGTCATGAAATCATCACTTTATTAAAAATTTCCTGATGGTTTTATTTTCATTTCAGTGAATTTTAAAGAATAAGAAAATCCTTTCCACTCTTTCCAAACAACACCTTTGTACCAAGATGCAGAAGGTTGATAATTGCCATGATAATAATACCCATTTAGGTTGGAATCATAACAATAATAATACCACCAAGCACCTTTAGCATTTACAGCGCAGTTTCCTACAACATCTGTATCGTTGTCTGAATCTTTTGTCGTAAACGACTTGTTTTTATGGGCGGATAATGAGTCCCCAGCAGTTCCTAAATGGCGATAATTGTGTTCAAGATAACACACACTTAACAGAAAAATCTTTTATAACGCATTACATTTTGCTACTACAGTCTTACTTGAATGCTTGTGTATAATATTAAGGTTTATTTAATGGACATTTGACAAAGATATTTACAATAGAGGTATGCTTTTTGCACTAACATGTTTCTCATCATTTAGTTCTTTGATTATGTAGAGAAATATTCAAGCTAATATACCAAATTCACATGTGTTTTTATATATAAATCTGTTCAGGCCCTTACTCATAATTTGCTGTACACAAAGCTGAAGCTGAATTTGTAATTTATTTTTATGAGTAAACTAGTCTTTATCCTCGAATGGCTCTCTAGTATTGCCTGTCCAGAAGTAGTTGTTGCAGTTAGTAATTTAGTTGTTCTACTGGTATTTTCAAAACTGTATTCACACGACAAAATAATTTTTGATTTATCAATGGGGTTGTTTGTTGTATTTTATAAGTTTAAACAATATATTGCTTTTATGACATATATTTACCGAAAAAGGTAAATCAGTTCATGCAAACTCCAAGCATCCAAGGCAATTTAACTTAATGCTGATATCATTTTTATCACATTAACCTTTAGAATTTTGTGTGCTTTAATTGTTTGTATTTGTCTATTGACTTACCAGAATATTTTTCCAAGACTCAATTGATGTTTTTCATTTTCATTCTTTACAGCAAAATAATCATGTTCAGCATATGTTTTGTTTCCTGACGTGTCTCCAAGATCAACACGAAGTTTATTTCTCCTTGCAGATGTTAGTCGGTATATTTTATCCAATCCAAGCCAGAATTCGCCTTTCAGATCACCAAAACCTTGTTTATAGTCTTTCCAACCTCGATAGAAGTTTACACTTCCATCTTGACGTCTTTGAAACACAGTCCAACCTCCACCAGATGACGTCATATCACAGAAAACCTTAAAGTAACCATGACCATCTGGATCAATTTGATAAACTCCGTTCTTTTTTTCACCTTTTTTGTAAAGATCTGCACAGTCTTTCTCTTGTATCTCCTTTGAGCTTTGTTTCATTCCTGTTAGTTTTTGACATTTTTTTGAAAGCCTTGTCAAATGTTTTTCAATAGTTTTTAACATGTTTTGTGTTTTTGCTAGTTGTGCTTCGAGTGTTTTCTTTTGTATGTATAGCTTAAGTAATCTTTGGCGGCACTTCGAATTCCAGAAGCCACATTTCATGTTAGGGCTGCACGTTTTCTAATATATATAAATATAATTATATGTTCAGCATTAATGTTTTTCACATACAGCAAAATAGATTACCTATTTTTCACTTTAATTACTTTTATGCAATATGAACACAGAGCTAAAAAACGATAAAACTAAAGCCTTGAAGGATGCGAAAGGGAATTATGATACCAATATTCAAATAGCACAGGGTGCACGAACAGAATTACACTGGTGGCTTTTAAATGCTGAAAATTTATTTCAGAAATTTTCAGGAAGAAACACCAGTACTCAATTACTATTGATGCTTTCCTCTCAGGGTGGGAGGCATGGCATCAAGGAACATTCATAAGTGATGCATGGAAAAATCCGAGTCTACAAACAACATTGACTATTTAGAAATGAGAGGCTATCTAACGAGGTCTACACACCTTTGCAAAGCATAATGAGATCTCGCTCATAAGAATACTGTATGACAACCCAACTGCAGTAAACATCATAAATCGTATGGGTACACGCTATTCAGACATAAATAATACTATGACAAAAATGATTTCAGAATTGTGTATAAATAAAAACATCTGAATTAGTCTTGCTCTCATCTTAGGCAAACAAAATGTTGTTGCTGATTGAAATACAATCGTTTTGACAAGAAATCCTTTTTGAATAGAAAGATGCGCAGTTTGATAACCTTTTCTTGAACATTTGCCATGAGTAGATTTATATATATAAATATTTATAGGTAACAGCCTATAACAAACACTTAGAGCTCAGTATAGGCACGAGTCAATACTATCAAAATAAGAATTTTCATATAAATGGTATACAAAAAACATTTTATGTTTTATGATGACAGTAGCTGAAAGTAAATTATTGTTGATGTCGTGTTATATGTCATATATGAATTTTTTCATTTTTTTACCTCTATCACTTTTGATGTTGATTCAGTGAATGGTTCAGCAGTTGCATATTTTTGAGATATGACATTTCCATCGAGAAAGACGCAACCAAAAATCGCTAAGAGAGCAAAGGTCCTCATGATCTTATAATGTAGAAACCAATATGACTAAAGAAAATGAGCTTGCCCGAGAATTTAAAGTGATATACGATCCTGTTTTTGTCTTCAGAGCACTACCAGCTGTGGTGAATATCACTTTCTATTTTCAGATGTCATCATATACATTTAAAGCGTTTCATAGAATAGATTTTTTCGAATATAAATATTTTTTAAAATGACAGTGTGTATTGTATTGCCATGAAAAATACGTTATAAATAAACAATCAAACACGTTTTTTGATTGAAAGAGAATTGACATAAAGGAGATATCAATTCGCTAAAAGAGGAAGAAATTTAGATGGAACTCATGCCGTGGATTTTTCATCTTTTTTATAGACATAATTAAAATAAAATATTGTACATGTTTTAAGTAAATCCTATTTTATTTCCTATTCTAAAATTTATAACCTTTATACAGTTATATTGTCCTTTTGGAAGATAAATTTAAATAACTTAAGCTCGCTAATGTTTTCATTGCGTTTGTGAAGTTAAGCAGATTTTATTACAACTTAACTGAGTGTCCTACTGATGCTTAAGAAATCATGCGAAACGCTTAGACTTCATTTTATGTTTGAATAAGTTTACGTTCGTCAAAATTTCGCGTTTTCTTACAATACTAACGTCTTTGTTTTGTCTTTACTTTTTATCAAATCATATTGGTATTTTGTTAAATATTTGTAAATGATCATTGGAATTATGTTTGATATATAATATCATTAAGTTTTCAGACAAAAAAATAGGGTCCCCTATTGACTTGACCTTACTATGAAGAGCAAAGCTCATGCTAACTACGTATGCCAGTGTTCTTATCGAGAACTCCTTTCCTAAACATTGTCATTGTTGATAGTTTTTGTTTGAAGCCACTGTCGATAGCTAGCAATCCAGCTGTGTGATACAGAACAATAATTACTAGGTCAATGTCAAACTCGTTGTCCAAGGCGGCAAGTGGTTTTTGAGCAATGTCATAGATTTATTTGATTTGTTGTGATGCAAAGTGGATGGATTGTGATGCAAATTCCTGTAATAATTAGTAAAAAGTATCAAAAACATGAGAATTTGCTAAACTTCTTAATTTATGACCAATATTATAAACTATTTAAATTGGCTATTCACATTTGTTTTTACCATAGATTGAATGAGTCACCGAAGATATATAGAATACGTTCCAGGAAAAGATGCACAACAGAATTCCAGTATTTTATGAACTGAAGACCCCTGCATGATAAACATAAAGTTATTTACCTTCGGGATGGAGTGGTTGGTCAGTGCTAAGTAGAAGGAGGAGGACTAAGCAATGTCAGTACAATGTAGAGGTACACTGAGTGAGTTCAGTACAATTGCTTGTGGACGATGTGAATGTACATGAGGAGGTGGAGGATGGGAAGGTGTTTAAAGAGATGGAGGATGTGCAGGTGTATAAGGAGGTGGAGGATGTGCAGGTGTAAAAGGAAAAAGAGGGTGAAGGAAGAGACGAGGGATAATAAATGGTAATCCGTAGAAGGAGATGAGAAAAAGGTAAAATAAAATTGTTTCTCCTCCTTTCCTCTCTCTCTCTCTCTCTCTCTTCTTCTCTTCTTCTCTTCTCTCTCTCTCTCTTCTCTTCTCTCCCTCTTCTCTCTCTCTCTTTCCATCTCATTTCTCCTTTTTCCACCGTTTTCTAATGCGAATAGTGAAACGAATACTAGCATTAACTAACACAAACATTATGGGTGTCAACACATCACGACTATTATTATTATTATAATTATATAATATTTATACAGTATTTTCTTCAGTACAGAACACTGTCATCAACGAAATAGCTGTATAAATACATATAAATAACACTTAAAACATACATTAAAAAATTACAATACTAAAATAGTAAGACTAAACCAAAATAGTAAAAAAACAGCAACTCTTACACGAAGACCAACATCAACACTAAGAAAACACCAGCACTATGACGAACACTGACACTGATGTTAACACATTACTTAAACTTTGACAAATATTAACATTTTTCCTGTTCAAGTGATCACATTTTTCGTTACTATTTCCTTCACGTATAACCTTATTCTTAATCACAACATCACATTTTGAATTTTTTAAACAACGCGCACACCATTTATAATTTTCTTACCATAAAGCACTCTGCATTCTATGTGTTGTATTTTGCTTTTCAATCAAGTAGATTATTTGAAAAAATTTCTTGAGTAAGAATTTTTTATAATATTTGTGACTATTTCACACAATTTCTACACATCTCCTTTATGTCACAATGTTTATATTTATATCTACTTGATGTCTACCTTTATTTATCTTTATGTCAATCATTGTGTCTTTCTTCATGTTTATCTACCGTGATATATCTACATTTATGTCTTACTTTATGTCTTTCTTTATGTATACCTTCATTTTTTATGCAATATCAATATAAATTTACAAGATGTAAGGACTTCAGAATGTTCAGACTTAAGTCTGAGGTGGTGAAACTTCTTGGATCACAATTCGAGAGACTGAATTCCATCCACTGTTTGCATAACCAGCGTTTACTTTATTGCAATCGCCGACATAGAAGCCAACATTAACTGTACCATTGTTAATGTTGCCACAATATCCCTCTATATGACGATGACGATGAATATTTTGTGTTCCTTTACCTTTCCACATGTAGAGGACACCTTCAATTGTTGGACTACATTCTTTTCCATTCAATTTAAAATACCATCGTTTGCAACAATAGTCACAGTCAGAAATACGGAGATTACCACCATAGAACACACGAAGGTACGTGTTGTTACATTTTTTAAAAAAACTACAAGACTAGAAAAACAAAACAAGCAGAATATAAGAAACATTTTCCAATGCATCCTTACATCTAATATGATGAATGCCTTACACAGGTAGCAAGCTCTATGATTGTGGGAATCATATTTGTATACGTCATAACCTGTAAACAATTGTTTTAAAGGATTTCTTTAACTCGGCATATAATGCATATACGTGTAGTTATGAGACACCCCCTCCTCCAATTACCAAGCTTGCGACGAAACTCTTAGAAATTTGCAGTATACAGGCTGTTAAAAAAAGCAAGTTCTTGAAAAAATTTTCTAAAACAAAACGTCGTGTTCTTTCTTCTTCTTTAACCTTGTGCTACAGCCTTTTTTCTTATGCTTGCATTCATATCAATGCTTATGTCACATGCGTGCTTGTGCTAATATCAATGCTTATGTCACATGCGTGCTTGTGCTAATATCAATGCTTATGTCACATGCGTGCTTGTGCTAATAATATTCACTTCAACTGTGTTAACCAAGCTTGATGCAAATGATCTGTCATTGCAATTTACATTATTTCAATTACTTTTTTCCACAAAACATTATTTAGCTTGACGTTTTGCTATGAATTCAAATTCTAGCATCCAAATCGACAAATTTATAAACCTAAATTTGCTATATACATCAGCGTTTTTTGTACACATACTTGAAATAATAGTTACAATTGCATTTAAGTTCAGAACCAAAAGTTACGTTTTGGGCCGTCAAATTAATAATGAAAATTTGCTTTTTGCTTGTAAATTTAACCTTTATAGGTAGTATACCTTTATAAATCAGACATTCGTAATAAGTACCTTTATAAGACCATAATTCATGTTAAGTTCTTCCTTCCATGTGCATTGCTTCCAGTTCGATTCAATATAGTCTTCTTGAGCGCCTTGTACACAAAGTTTGCCATTTTCAACCTTTATCACAAAAATATCTACAGTCAGAATTATGGTTTAGTCATGTTATCAATAGTTAAGTCTGGAAAATCGGTAATCATTACGCTCTGATTTTCTTTTGCACAAAAATAGTAAAATTCAAAATGTCAAATGTGTAGTTGATAATTGGAAGAGGTATTCGTAAAATGCTTATCATTTGTCTTCAACTGAAAGCCAGTATTTTTTGCATACCAAAAGATATACTCAGTCTTTCATTTTGCATGATATTGCGTATGTCGAATTTAAGTTCAGTAGCGTATCCGACTAATCCAAGATCCCTCTTTCATAAGAGTCATTGAATGTTTAAAAAGTATCTACTTTCAGTAGCGCAACAGCAAAAAGTTAAAAATAACAGAAATGATGAGACGCAAAATTTTGTGTTATCAAAACTATAAGTTCTTAAAATACTTGTTTTTAATTAACTGCCAAATGAAGAAATACAATTTGTTATAGATATTCTAAAACAGGTGCATTCTAGTCATAATGACGTTTAATTATTTGTACGTGACAGAAAAATGAAAGAGGCTTTTATTTGCAATTTTTAAGTTCTCGATACAAAAAGTTTATGAACAAGATATATTTAAGCAAAGTAAAAATTAGCATGCATGCTCTATTCTGGAACCGTTATTCAGCATACGTGCATGTACTTACTGACAAGTCAAATCAGCCAAAATTATCTTTGTTTGTCAGCATATATATGCATGTCCATGTGATAAGATTATAAGAAGTATTTGATAAAGAAAACGTCTCAAAACTTAGACGATTCAGATTTAGAAGCATTGGATAATAAACAAGTTACTTCATAATTCGGATTAACAGCTACCGCAATAAAGAGCTGATGTCCTTAAGTTGAAATGATGTGGAATGTCTTTTACGACATTAGATTCTTCTAGGCAAATACTGAATTATATGGCAAGCGTTACTCCCGGTAAATTGGCGCGTTTTGATTAGTTCAGAAGCATTTTTGTCTGTCCATTAGTACCGTAATAAACCACCGTGAAAAACGCGTAATTATACAGTCAAATGTAAACAAATTTTGTAAAGCGAACAGCTAAACGAAGAAAAACAAAACAAAAAACCATTTACGAATGTGAGTCGAAGGAAAAACACTTGGAAAACAGTTTAATCATCCAGGCGATACAATTTGAAACGATTTATTTTTTACCTAAGCTTTCCCGTTCTATACTGAGAAATATCGAACTTTTGTTTTTTTGTACTAACCACGCGGTGGGTCTGTACAAAAAACTTCGGTCCGATATTTCTACGTAAAAACCTCGAGCTCAGTTAGTAAGGGCTTAGTATTGTAAACGTTATGATATTCATTTTGAATAAAATTTTCATTGTTTACCTCATTCGATGCACTGCCAGCTGCAAATAGAAGACAAAATAAGAAAATGTGAGCAGCCATCTTTCACGAAAGAACGACAAGTCTTAATACTTGAAAAATCGCTTGCACTGCTACTTAATATAGGTAACGGCTGCCATGAAATACTAACTATACTTAAAACAGCTGTGTTTATTTTGTCCTAAATATGCAATGTATACATTGCATAAACGTTCACATCATATAAGTTAATTATAGTTCATTATCAACAGTTTCAGTTTCATAAAATTATACTGCAACAAATCATCTCCAAACTGGATAAGAACTATGTAGGAGACTTGTTTTTCTCGGTTGCGTTCCACAACATGCATTCATTGATGGCTTTTGCAATTTCCAAATACTTACCTTATTTTCAACATCTTAGTCTTAAAATGGAAAATATATTTATAGCAACATTGAGCATGATCAGTTCAACAAGAATTGAAAAAGCAAAATTTTGTATGGTTCTAAAACATGTAAACGATTTATATATTGAATTTAGTCTTAAGAAACAAAACTCTAAACAACTGTCTATTGTAGTGATCGTTAGACTATAAAACGATGTTAGATAATAATTTTCTCTTCAATAAATGCAACACAACTTAAATGCAAGAAAACTAATATTTCTATAAACAAACAGAAAGCTAAGTAATTGAATGAAAGAAGAAAACATATAAATTTTTATGTTTCAGTGAAATACCAAATGAAAAATATATTTTTTGTACTCCAAAACAAATTTAATTGAAGAAAATATTATGAAATATTGACATAACCTTCAAGATATCTGCATGATCACGCGGCATTGCTAATGATAAAAGGCGTCTTTCATTAATGGGAGAGCTTGTATATCATGATGACTATGTTATTTGATGTTTGCGTATTCTAAAATTTTCATCAACATTACATACAACAAAGTATAAAGTTAAATTTACGTTGCTTTTAAACCTAACACATACCCGGGATACAGTGCTTAGTTGTTTTTCGCGACATGTTAGCTACATCAGCCAAAAAATTATTAAATATGGGCAAGAATTTGAACAATTGCTCATTAGTGACAAACAAAATACAACTCTAGCATGTTTTGATGTACTGTGTTTAAAAAATGTTCCTGTCTAAGATAAAGCAGAAAGTTCGCCATAACTAGAAAAAAAATAAGCTTGGAGTAAAGCAAAAATGATGAAACTGATTAGCAGCAGGGAATTTTTAAGATATGACGAAATATTTGCTCTTTTTAACGAAAACATCCAACAATAATATATAAAGCAGTCTTTCTCTTATGTCTCTGGCAAAATTCATTAGCCAATTTACGAGAGACATATGGCTACCGAAATTGAGCTTTTACCAATCAAATAAAATATACAGTCAATGAGTGCGTAAGAATATGCTACCTGTTTTAGGAATAAGAATTAAAATAAGTACATTCAGTAATGATAACACAAGCCTTGAAAATTTAAGTACATTTAGTATTCATAACAAAAACCTTTAAAATTATTCTTAAGCTCAAATTATTTTTAAAACAACAGTAGCTATGACTCCAATTTTTTTTTTAAATTAAGTTTATTAAAATTTTGCAACCACAAGCCAAAAAAATTCGTTCTAAAAGTTATCTTTTTAAAAACCTGTTTTACTTACACATATAATGATGAAACGACGTATTTTTCAATGTTTAGTTATAACTATTAAGATTAACATTTAATTATTGTGCGTTGTGCGCAATAACGACCGCAATAGAAATCAAGTACAACCCAAAAGGGAAAATGTTGCTCACGCTAAATAGGGTTAAAAAGTATATCTGTTGCTGTATTTCACGAAAACGATGAGCTAACAACAACGACGTACGTAGTTCGAAAGATCAACTTTTTCGAAATTACCTTTTTACTGGTATTTCAGCAATCATTGAAACACTATAAAAAAACCTTTATGGTGTTATTCTAATTAAGCTATTATCTAAGCAAACGTGCATATATGTTTTTAGCTTTGACAAAGTCAATCACGATGAAACAGCTTTTCTAATAGAAGCTTTACTATAAAAAAACAGAAAATCATTCAAAGGGAAATAACTTTTTCTAGGCTTAAGTTTAAATTGACTTAAGTCTGAGGTGGTGGAACTTCTTGGATTACAATGCGAGAGATTGAATTCCATCCACTTGCGGCATCTGCATCAGAATATCCTTGACAATTACCAACATAGAAACCAACATTAACAGTACCACTGTCGATGTTACCACAATATCCCTCGATATGACGATGACGATGAACATTTCGTGTACCTTTACCTTTCCATATGTAAAAAACTCCTTCAATTGTGGAATTACACTCTTTTCCATTGAACTTAAAGTACCATCTCTTGCAACAGTAGTCACAGTTTTGAATACGGAGATTACCAGCGTAGAACACATTAAGATAGGTATTGCTACATTTTTTTTCAAAACTACAAGACTAGTGTAAAGAACAAAAACAAATAAGTAAAACATTTGTAAGTATCGAAAGTGATCATGCAGTATGACAATCACAGAAAACAAAAGAATTTGTAAACAACATCGAATATAGTTTTATTGTTGTCATTTTAAGTAATAAACGTTAAGTTGTTAACCGCAATGCTGCATAAACAAAGGTTGAAGTACTGAGATTTATTGACAGGAAACTGATATAAATGTAAAATCGTAGAGAAGATATTTTCGTGTTACCATGGTCCTGAGGCTATGCATTTTTCAGATCGTCATTTTAGCCAGTTTGTTTGTAAGAAATTAGACAACTTATGTTTATATTTGTTTGAGAGTTTTTATTACCAGTCAGCAGTTTATTGACCGCTCTTAACTATCTTTCAAAGTCGTAGCTAGCTCGCTAATTGGAGAAGCCAATATTTATATATTCATGTTCTGCTATATTACGTTTTTTCGAAATAAATTTTTTCGTGGATTATAACATTCATGCATGTATGAATTATGCCTCTCTACTCCTCCCCTAAACCATCGAAATTAGCTAGGGCATTGCTTTTTTGTTAAAAAAAGAAAAACACAACAAAACGAGTTAAATACACTGACGAAGACACATTTTTTGAAAAAATCTTCATTTCTAGGTATTTAATTACTATCTAATTAATGAATGAAGTAAAAAGAGATTTAATTGGAGTGACGCTTTGCTTGCTTGCTATTTTTTAAAGAGATGTTAAGTTCCATTGCAAGAATTAACATTTGTACGAAGTGCATGATAAAACAAGCCTATGCTTATTGATCTCGCTAAACATATCGACGTATGAAAGAGCAAATGATATATTAAGAGAAACGTATTTAAAGCGATAAAAGAGATCTTCGACATTTTTGAAAAACTATTTTGGATCTCCCTTTTATAACCTAAAGGCTAAAGAGATCATATGACAAAAGTGTCTAACTGTCATAGCAAATGACTTTTTATTTCATAATCTTTTCATTGTTCATTCCTATGTAGCTATAAGTAATTTTTTCAGTTGACAATTTACAAGTACTTTTCCAAATTTATGTTCAGTAAATATTCCAAAAATTAATATTTAGTTCATTTTTACCTCGAGCCTAAAGATTGGCATAGCTGATTGTTTTCCATCCAACCACAATTAAAACATTATCTTTTTCGTCATTTTAGTTTTTACGTTATGTCAAAACGTCCGCGGACTTTAACAAGTAATTAACTTACCTTTATAAGTCCATTGTTAAGACCATTTCCTTCCAGCCATGCGCATTGCTTCCAATTTGATGTAATATTTTTTCTTGTAAATTGACCGTCCTCTTTTTCTCCCTTTAGTACAAAAATATTCACGGTCAGAATCATAGTTTCTTAGTTGTGGATTAAGATATTAATTGTTAAGTCCAGCAGCTTTGAAAAATTCTTAATACCATTACACAGATCAGTGTGAAATGAGTAAAAAAGTATATTACAACGTTTATAAAGCATCAACGAATGTTTTTTACCATGATTCTATACCGAAGTTGTTTTCGAATATATGAACTCAACACAGTTTAATTCAATAGAACAAAAATGAAGAATACAAAATAGCAAGTTTTCACATTTGACTTACTTTCATAATCACATTTTAAAATATTCTTATATGGTCATGCACTTGTAGTTGTTTACGTAGTCTATCCTTGGAGTTCATCTCAATGCCGACTCAGCATTTTAAGGTCTTGTTTTATACCACAGGAACACCTGCCAACTCGCCCGGTTTTATTGGAGTCGCCTTAATCTTAAAACAAATCTTCTAAACGCCAGATTTTCGATCACTTTCACCCTTCTTTAATGACATGTAGATAGTGAAAAAACCTTTAACAAATCAGGTCGGACTGAGTATTTAATTTCCATAAATATTTATGCATTTTATATGCTATGCACCCAAATTTTCCACGCACTTTCTTTTTATTAACAAGAAATCCACTTGAGTGTTCGCTTTTTGCTGCTTCTTACACAATTCCCTTTTATTGAGTTCGTCTGTTTGTCAATGTGTTTGTTGATACAATTCTCAATCAAACACTTACTCAGACTTGATTCGTTCAAAATTATTTTACTGAATACATGTGATACCAAAACTCAAACAAGAGAAGTGATTGAATATCTGGTTAACTGAATATTTGCATTAAGATTTCGGTGACATTCGATAAAATCAAGGAACTGGCATGTCTGCCTTCCTATGGTATCATGGTAAAAAAACATTAATTGATGCTTTATAAACGAGTGACTGAAGAGAAACAGTGTAGCTTACTTTTTTGCTCATATCATGCTTGTCTATGTTTTGATAACTATAATGAAGACATCATTGAGGATAAAACTTTAATTTCTGCTTATTGTGCACACTTATCACTTGGAGGCACATTAACTAATTACCTGCTTTTACAATATTAACTATAGCACCATGAAAGAAATTAATAGTTTGTTAGATGTGGGCGACGAAATTTTAGTTTAAGCTCAGTAAAGCGTGTATCCAGGACTATTCGTGTAAATAGAAAATATTTTAGCTTTTTTTGGCATTTAAATATTTACACTTTAGTACGCTTTAAGAATTAAGCTGTCAGATTGTAAAGAAATTCATGTCTTGTTTGGAATTACCACATAGAAATTTCGGCCGAAGAAATTACATCTCATAATCTTTCTAAGATGACACATGAACAATAAAGGAATCATAAGGGAGGCCTGAACATCGATAATTGGGGAGATGGAAAATAGTCATTTATATGTGTTTTGCCTGATGATCACAGGATTAATTTTATGACTATTGAACAAAAAAGAATATATTTTTGAATGAGGTCACTATGGTCATATATTATTATTGCATGGACTTCAATTTTAAAAATTTTTGTTCATTTGTTGTAACTTAATTAAATTGAGTGTCTATATTGCTTTCCTTACAGCGATTTTCTTCTTATTTTAAAAACAATGTTCACAAACATATAATAATTCTCTTATTTACGTATTTAAGCTGAAGGTCAGAAAATTTATATCCCATTTTCACCATTTTCTGGTTGAATATTAGACTGTTAAATGTTTCCCGGAATAAATATTTTTATTCAAATTAACTTTAGTTTATTAAATATGTAAAGCAAAAGTTTCTTATTATAGTTGAACTTGAATATATTTTGCGGTACGCAGTTTTGAGAAAATTGTCATGAAATTGTATTGCACGTATTTAGTGAAATTATAGAATAACAAGATAATGTTGACTTTGTTAAATTCCTACCGTCTTGAAAAGAGCTTGATAAAAAGTCCATTTTTCTTTGACGAACAATGTCTTCACTCTGCTTCTGGTTGTTGTGTTGGAAATATGGCAGTTTATCTCAGATTTTTTAGCTTCGTCTAGATAGTTAAAACCAACACATCTCTTCTCTCGATGACATTCAAATGAACATTCAATCGCACTGTCAACGAGATGACTTGCAATGATATTTTTTGGTGCCAAAGCATCACCTGCATAATGAAAAATAAAACGAAATTAAATTCAGCGCGTATTTTACATCGATAATATCTTGTTAAACAGAGTCTGGAAAACATTTCTCAATTCGTCAGACCTTAAGGCTTACATAAATAATTCAAGGATAGTTGGACGTTATACAGTTAATATATAACAAAAAAAATGTCGTAACTTTCTTCTCTATAGCAACATGTACTGTACTTTTATATTCCAATTGAGTATGCTTGTGTGATTATTATGCACATTCTATTTAATTAAAGAGGTTCAGTGAGTGAACACAAAAAAAATTGCATAGAAATACGATATGTGCAGCCTTGCTACGACTGTTGCAACTACGTATGTGTTTAGATGTCAAATGTTGGTATGCAGATAATGATTTGCAGACTGAAGATAGTTGCTGATGACTGAAATGGCTTTTTCTAAATCCTGCTCTTTTTAGGTTTTCTAAGCTTTATGTAACTTATAGCTTATACTGCTATATATAGCTTATACTCATATATCTTTTACAATTGTTAGCGTTGTCACTCCATTTGTGCACGATAAAGGTCATGCAAGCTGTAAACAAAAAGAGAAAATAACTCAAATTTACAAAATTAACTGCTGTAGATGAATAATAAAGTTTTTGCGTGGAAATGAAGTTAAACATCTAAGCTAAATTGAGACACTGGAACAAAATTTTCAGATTTAAAAGTGTCATCTACAATATTTTACAATAAAACTACAAGCTAAATAACGATAATTCAAAATTTGATGTACATGTATCAGCTATAGACTTAAACTTTTCTTTTCTTCAAAAAAACAAACGAATAAAAGTAAATTATTATATTTTATATTGACAACATACCATTTTCATTTATTTTCATGAATGCACTTTGTGGAATTTCGAATTCTTTGTTTGTTGCATTGCATGCACCGATTACAAGAAAAGTCACAAAAATGTACCCAACCATCTTTTAGAAATGAGTGATAACTTCAAGTAACACGTCTAATGAAAAGACGTTTGCATGCACGATTACCGCAATGTATCTGCTGTCATAAAGAGCTAACTATATATACGTGTACAGCTGTGTTTAGTTTGACTAAAATTTCAAATGTAAATATTGGAAACATGTGATGAGCTTGGCTTCCCCATAAAAGTCAATTATTTGACGAATCTACCGCAAAACGTTTCGCTCGCTTTATTTGCAGGAAACGATTGCTGTAAAAATTTGGGCAATTTGGTGAAAAATATATTTCCTGTGTGTTTAATTATTACAGTTACAATCCTTTTTGGTGGTCGACCATTAATAATTTAAGCATTTCATAAATAATGTACAAGCTTTAATATAATACAAATTACACACAAACACTATTAACCTGCCAGCTATATGCGGGTCTCCTCGTTTAAAAAAAAAAGATGAAACTTCTTCTCTAAGAAAAAGATTAAACTCGCTGCAATCGAAACGCTATGAACTTCCTGTCAATCCATGTAAATTTGTATAAAAAGTTGCTATCTGTCCCTCTCTCTTTTCTTTCTGTAGGAATTTATTCATCTACAATGCTTGTACAATATTTTATTTAAGAAAATATTTGTTGTTAATTATCTTTTACATGAAAAAAAATTTGCTGGTTTATTAACATACATTTTAGATAATTAATTTTAATGAAAATAGAGCTGACTTCAAAGCTTTCGGTAGATTCTGTACGTGACAGCAAAAATGAAGCGCATTTTTCAACAAGGTGATGAAAGGGTTTGTAATAACAATTTTGGAGCCAATGCTTAGAGCATAGAAGCCCCCATCAACATTTATTTTTAGTCTTAAAGTTGTATCAATGAGACGATTTGCAGAAAACATTCTGCACCAGACTTCCATTCAATAATGAGCGTAATTCTTCTGTCTCATTATTTAAGCACTACTACAGAACTTTTCTCAGGAGGGGGCAGTGCCCCCCCCCCCCAACTATTCATTAAAAAAGAAAAATTACCATAAAAGGGAATGTTTACTGATAGTCTATTTTGAGTATAGTGCAGGGAGTGGACTCTAAAAACAATCACGTTGGAATCTTTTGTAATTTTTCTTTTATTAGTTTACTACGTTTGCGATTAGACGACCGGCGTTGCTAAAAATAAAATGGCGACTACTTGACAACATGTTGCAGACATCGGTACTTATAATTTCTAAAATGTCACCCTCCCGCACCCAAAATTTTATGTTCTTTCCGACGCCCCTGGTTTGTTGTCGAAGTCATAATGTGTGATGAACACATAAGGTAGGAAGCTCTTGGTGTGTAGTATCCATTCATGTAGTTTACATTAAATATATAATCTAGCCAAGCGACAGTTCCAATATCTTACTTCCTAAGGGATACAGATTAACAGACTAAATCTGCTTAATGCATTGGTAATGACCACGAGCTATTTAATTTCGCAATTACGCTGTTAAGCGCTATTTAGGACATTACTGCTGACATTTGTTTACGTTAATAGTACTCTATGACAAACACCGACAACTCTGCTATATACAAGAAGTTTATGATATAAATCTCGTACATATTGCTTACACCCACTGCTAGCATATAATTATAGTGAAAAGAGTTGGAGAGATTCAATCAACGGTTGATGATCATTCCTTCAATCTGATTTTTTGAAAGTTGATCAAAAATACATGAGTAAAAAAACAAAAAAGGTGATGCGAGAATTGAAAAGATACATACATTTTTTAGAGCTCAATTACTCTGCAAATTGTTTTCAGCACAGTAAAAATTCATCAAAGATATAGAGCATTTTTAAAAAACTAAAACCTATATAATACAAAAATTTAAAAAAACAGAGACGGCTGTCACTTTATTTTTTCTTCAAGGGGGTAAAAAGGAACTTTGTAATTTAATTCAAACAACACATCATTCGAAAGCTCATGGTAACTTATTTAGTAATTTTAGTTATGCACAAAAGCGAGCTGAAGTTCGGTTGCCTTTTTGCGACACGGTTCCAATAAATATTATACCAAATCCATATAAAGAACTACGAATAATGACTGTTGAGATTTATTTCTTTTTAAAGACTAAACAACCAACTTTATAACAAAATATATAAAGTTCACTACAGATGTATTCATCATCGTCATGAAATCATCAATTACTTAAAAATTTCCTGACGGTTTCATTTTCATTTCAGTGAATTTTAAAGAATAAGAATATCCTTTCCAATCTTTCCAAACAACACCTTTGTACCAAGATGCAGAAGGTTGATAGTTGCCATGATAATAATACCCATTTAGGTTGGAATCATAACAATTATAATACCACCAAGCACCTTTAGCATGTACAGCACAGTTTCCTACAACATCTGTATCGTTATCTGAATCTTTTGTCGTAAACGACTTGTTTTTATGGGCGGATAATGAGTTCCCAGCAGTTCCTAAATGGTGATATTTGTATTTAAAAGAACGCACATTTAACAGTGGACTTTTATTATGCATTATTTTTGGTCACTACATGCTTACCTCACTGCTTGTGTAATATTAATATTTAATCAATGGACAATTGACAAAAATACTTACAATAAAAACATTCTTTTTGCTCCATCATGTTTGTCATCACTTAGTTTATTAATTATGTAGAAAATATTAAATACTACTGTATTCACATGACAAAATATTTTTGGTTTACAAAGGGGGTTGTTTGTTGTATTTTAAGTTGAAACATTATATATTGCTCTTATGACAAATATGTAACAAAAAAGTAGAATCAGTTCATGCAAATTCCAAGCATCCAAATCGTTTTAATTTAATTCTAATATTATTTTTATCCTATCAACCCTTTTAACTTATTACTTTTAACTTATTACTTTTATCTTTTGGTGTTATTGTTTATATTTGCCTAATGACCTACCAGAATATTTTCCAAGTCTCAATTGATATTTTTTACTTTCATTCTCTACAGCAAAATAATCATATTCAGCATATCTTTTATTTCCTGACGTGTCTCCAAGATCAACACGAAGTTTATTTCTCCTTGCTGATGTTAGTCGGTATATTTTATCCAATCCAAGCCAGAATTCGCTTTTCAGATCACCAAAACCTTGTTTATAGTCATTCCAACCTCGATAGAAGTTTACACTTCCATCTTGACGTCTTTGAATTACAGTCCAACCTCCACCAGATGTTTTCATATCACAGAAAACCTTAAAGTAACCCTGACCATCTGGATTAATTTGATAAACTCCGTTCTTTTTTTCTCCTTTTTTGTAAAGATCTGCACAGTTCTTTCCTTGTGTTTTCTTTGATTTATTTGAAATTTTTGTTCCGTTTTGTTCTGTTACTGTGAGTTTGGTATATTCTTTTGAAAGCGTTGTCAATCGTTTTTCAAGAGTTCTTAACATGTTTTGTGTTTTCGCTAATTGTGCTTCGAGTGTTTTCATTTGTATAGAAAGCTTAATCATTTGAACTTTGAGCTTCTTTATTTGTTTTCGCAAGGTTATACGTTTACTTATTTGTCCTTTTGTCTTGTTCATTTTGGATTGGAGTTTTAACTTAAATGTTTGAAGGTGTTTGTTTTGTGCGCCAAGTTTTTTGTGATATGTTTGAAGTGTAGCTATATGTGCTTTTATAGATGCAATTTGTGTCTTCAAAGTTACATTTCGTTGATCAGGTTTTGCGGTGCGTTTCATGTCGAGGCTGATTGTTGAGAAGTCATCTTTTGTAAGATCTTTTTTTTGTATTAGTCAACATCACTCTACGGAAATAGTTAAATGATATGAGACAAAACAGTCAACTGACATATTAAAGCATAATATTCAGTGGCCGACTACATAGTAGGCTCTGTAGGCTGGAGTTTACAGGCTCGGGCATTTGAGAGGTCCATAGTTTCTAGACATAAATAGTTTTTAGCTTCTGCTATTCCGGACTAGAATTAAATGCTCCTAAATTAGACCATTTATGTTTTTGAAAACCATACAATCTACTGTTCAAATTCAGGATGCTTAGAAAACATGAAGTCTTAGCTTTCCCAATTTGAAGTTTAAATTCATTCCTTATTGTTGATTCTATGAGTTGCAAAGACCAGCTGGAAAATACGAAGGGTAAGGGCTATTGGAGCGTAAGGAACGCAAATGTCATCATGAGATTGAACTTAGTGGGAAGAATACATAACCGATTTAAATTTCAACAAATTTGTATTAGCCGGCGTGCTCCGTAATTAGTAATCCGCCATTGATGATAACACTTATTACACTATGTCAATTGCTTACTGACCATTATCCAGCATGATGTTCTTGTGATCTTTAATCGCAGCCGGAATTTTCAAAAATTTTAAACAATTTCTAATATTAATACGTAATGTAACAAAGAGGTAAAATTCATAGAATTGTGCCAATTCATCATCTTCCACCTTTTAAACTACGTTTATCAAAAAAATTCTATTTGAATTGGTTTGGAAAATGCTTATGGTGATTAAGAAATAATCAATCATAATTTTAAAATGATAAAAGAACTCAAAATAGTACAAAAATAAACCGTTTTGTAAATTTCAACTTTCAAAAGTGGCGTAGTACAAAAATTTAGGAGCTCATATTCATATAAGCATACCATAATCCGTAAAACATGATTTCAAATGATCTTAGAAGACGATATGAATAAGTGTTCTCTCATGCAGTTAGTTACAGAGATTGCTACGACATTGCAGGAGACAATTTTTAAAATTATAGCTACGAAGAAGCATATTACGAAGAATAAAGCAACCATGAAATTCAATTCATCTCTTTTGATCCATTGATGACATACTTTCTAACACAAAAACATTTAATAACGGCATATTTAATGCAAAATACTAAAACTGCCCATTGCTACTATTTTAGCAGCTTTCAACCTTTTCACTATAAAGCACTGTCCTATTAAATCATGCTCGCCTCAAAAATACAAAAGGTTTCACACCTTGCACGTTTTAGTTTTAAAAAGATTACAACTTACCCATGAATAATAGCAAAAAGACAAGCTATTACAATCATCGCATAAGTAAAGTTTGCCATCTTGTGATAAGTCTCACTTGTAGAGGTTTGAAGCGTGTGTGAAGAAAGTAGCAAAGCTCTATTTATATATTTGTGTTAATTGTGGTTCAATAACAACTTGTTATAAAATTTGATTACATGTTGACTATTCATAATTGTTTTATAGACTTGCTACAGCACTTGAAATTAATTAAAGTTTTAATTGTATGTTTGTGCTATTACACAAACAAAATATTAAAGAAGGCTTTGCATAAAACATTTCATTTTGAAGCTTCCAACGTACCTTTTTGAACACTTGTTCTGACAATAGTATCAAAATCAAAAAAGCAAAATAGCATCCTTAATTGTGTTTACATAAGTTGGGAATTCAGCCAGAAATAGCAAACATAAAGACATGGAAATGCGTGGTCCTCCTGCAAATATGTAATTTGTACATTCCCGATGAAAATTTACATATGTAGTTGAAGCTTTAATAACATATTGGGAAAGGCAGGCTTACTTATTCAAGCCAGAGAAGTTTATCTAACATATCACGATTTAATAAGTGAGTTAGGCTCGAACACATGCTTTATATCTTACTTATTAAAGCCAGACAAGTTTATCTAACATATCACGATTTAATGAGTGAGTTAGGCTCGAACACATGCTTTATATCTTACTTATTAAAGCCAGACAAGTTTATCTAACATATCACGATTTAATGAGTGAGTTAGGCTCGAACACATGCTTTATATCTTACTTATTAAAGCCAGACAAGTTTATCTAACATATCACGATTTAATGAGTGAGTTAGGCTCGAACACATGCTTTATATCTTACTTATTCAAGCCAGACAAGTTTATCTAACATATCACGATTTAATGAGTGAGTTAGGCTCGAACACATGCTTTATATCTTACTTATTCAAGCCAGACAAGTTTATGTAACATATCGCGATTTAATGAGTGAGTTAGGCTCGAACACATGCTTTATATCTTACTTATTCAAGCCAGACAAGATTATCTAACATATCACGATTTAATGAGTGAGTTAGGCTCCAACACATGCTTTATCTTTTAGTTATGACCTAATAGACATATTTCCAAATAGACATGTTCTTAAATAGCTCGCCAAAGCAAATTTACTGACTGAGTTGGTTTTCTTTAAGTATTTTGCAAGATGTATTTAGCATAGCTACAATAATTCGCTGATTATAATTATTTAAAAACAGCTCTTTACGCTTGGTATTGATGGGAAGTATTTGGGAACATCGCGTACGTAAAATCATAATGATTGTTTTTCGTAGAGATCAAACATAAAACCTGTATTTAGTAAACACTCATTTATCACTCATGTTAGAAGTATAATCATATTCCCGAGTTCAAGGACAAGAAAAAATTCACAAGCTGCACATTCTTGTCAAACTGCTCGTTAGCTACATTCAGCCCCATGACTACTGACTCAATGTCATACAGACTTCTGCCCACTCGATCACCATAAAAATCCAAGTTTTTACTTTATAGAAACAGCTACGTATTTGAAACGCCGTACATTCAGAAAATGATACTTAAGCAACTTTAAATATTAGAGTTTATCTTCC